TATTCTATTCAACCTTATTTTTGGTTGCTAACATAGTTGATGAGTCATGCCGATTGCTATGGCTCACAATAAGTAATTCCATCAGTTTGACTTGTCTTGGTAAAACAGTTTGTGAATTTGAAAGAGATCAATAATTTACACAAGCACATTCTTTTATTGGTGGCTCAAATCAACTACAATGATTTTTATTAAAAACTGGTGCCAAATTAAACATGGGGATGGAATGTCAAAATTAGATGCTATAGTCAAAATACTATTTTTATCATAATAGTTGATGGGGCATAAAGGACGCTATGGTTTTTAATAATTTATTATTTCAATTTGGCTTGGTTAAAAGTGCTGGACATTCAGAGTACACTTCACCTTGTTAAGATGCATTTATGTATACAATGCGAAATCCAAGGAAACATACCTTATAAGGTATGGTGAAAACTACTCTTGAACTTCTCTCAAAGCAGGTCCCATGTAGCAAGCAATGTATATAATACGTAAATATTCGGGATTAAGGTATAACCAGCGTATATGTATTAATGATACAGATAATATACATATTATATACCAATATGAAAATACGGTTTCATCCAAAATAAATTTTGCATAAAATACTGTAAAATGAAGAAACAAAGTGTAAATTTTCACCTAAATGTTGTTTTGAGGGCATAAATTAACTTTCGAGAATGCAGTAAAATAAGTAAAGGTATTGATGACACAGATAATATATGTATTTTATATCAATAGAAAAATACGAAAAAAATTGTAGTGTTGTATTTATTTCTCTGCATTTTTTCAACATCCTGTGTAAAATGTATTTGTAACACATACTGTAGTATAATATTCATAGATGATGAACAAAATATTCTGCCGCGCGAGATACCCGAGTCTCTGCGTTTTCTTAGGTTCGACGATGTTCGCTGATGCATTATGGGAGCAAAACAGCGGGGGTCAGCATCCGATCCGCCACCGCCATATTGTTTTTGTTTGTCTTAATGTCTTTGTCTCACAACTCACAACAAACGTTGTCCTTGTGGCTGTGTTTAGACTAGAGCATCTACTTCTGATTTTCAGTGTTACACGTGAAGAATTCGTTGTTTTGTTATTATTTACTTATTAATTAGGTCTATTAGTTACTTTTTACTTTATATTCTTTAAGATTTGCGTTACATCTTCGACTTTTTAACTTCAGTGGCGATTCGACTAACTTGAGTTATGGCCTAAGGTAAGTTACACAAATTAATTATTATCGTTATTGTAAGTTATTAAGAGATTTAGCATATGTTTTGTTAATAACTCGAATGGTGGTAATCTAATTTAAATACTTTGTAAGTGGAAATAGGTTACAAATTAAGTTAGCCTTCCTAACCCCTTAAAAACTCTACGGAGGCTCTTTAGGGAAAAATTAGGCTGTAATTTACAAAACTAAGGAAGCCAACTTCAGGAGATAACCTAGACCTAATTCATTGCAATATGTCCTTGGTCTGAACTAATTTAGCTTGGAGACAAGCAAGGCCTAGGTCTACTTAACAAATAGGCCTACCGTAGCTAAACTTATGCCTAAGTTACTTAGAACCTGTCATAAGTTAGCCTAGGCCTAACTTACAGTTAAGACTAAAAATGATGTTCATTGGTAAGTTTATGTTAGAATTCAGGCCTAGTCTTGTAGGCAGATGAATATTTTAAGACCAGAAGGGGGTAACTTAACTTACAGTTCCGAAGAGAACCTGTGATCTGTGAATAGATGGATGACTTAATAATAAATATCTTTGGTAAGTTAAATTAAATGTTTATTCTTCTTCCCAATGTAAACATCAAATTGACCTATGATTTGTTTTGCCTACGTTTCTATCGACATTAACTAACTTAGCCTATAAGCATATTTAACCACAAACAAAATATAGCCTGAGACGGTAACTTACTAGCAAAATATAGCCTAACCTATTTAATGAAAAAGCAACAAAAGAAAACATAAAGTTAGCCTCTTAGGCCTATAACTTAATGTATAAGCTAACTGGGAAAATTAAAGTCAATGCAATATTAAAGTTAACTAGGCCTAAACTTAGGCCTAGGCCTATGTTAATATTTATGAAAATATTGATAAATCGTTATTGATCTGATAACTTAGAAGATCGCAGGTTCTCTGCGGAACTGTAACCCCAGAAGGCTGCAGCTTTATAACTAGGCCTACGTCCTTCAAAACTATCGAAAGGAAATGTCAAACAAATAACTTAAGGTGCCGCATTTGCGATCAGTAGGTTATGGTTAGGTTAGGTTTAGCTACCGGTATGTTTTTTTTTTGTTTACGATTAACTTAGGTCTAACTTATGAAACAACATCGCAGCTACGTTTAGTAATAAACTTGAACGAAAGTTTGCATAAGTCAAGAGTAATTTTTATCAAGGCTTGGCACATAATAGCCTAGGGTACGATTTATTTATAGATGGCACTTTGAAGGGTAACAACGCTATCAAAATGTATATCAAATATGCCTATGACATCACAGCTGTCTTTCTAAGATCTAGGGATGAAAGTTTTAACTTACCCAGTACCGTGGTTAAAAATGGGCCCTGGTCCAGGGGCGCAAGAGTTTTTTTTTTGTTTTGTTGGGTGCGCTAGTAACAGACACTAATTGGAAAATATCTGAAACCTCCTCACTTCGTCTTCCACTCATGACTCATCACTGCCACTGTTTGCGTATTAGGCCTATCATTAACTATACTTAGTCGTCTGTCTTTATTTGTAGGCTATTAATTTGTTACTAGTGTACATGTTGCTCGAAATCGAGCAATTGAAAAGAAGCAGGCCGACAGGAGTTATTTATAAACAAATAACTTGTTTAAAAACTAATAACAGTCATAATTTTCGATGATTTTAAAAGAGTCAACTAAAAGATTATTAACTAATGGAAATACTCACAACTTACATAACAGTCCTATTCCAGTTTAAAGGGTTAATTTTTAATAATCAAACTGTCCATGGGTGGGAAAAGGCTTACAATTTAAGACATCGTAAAAAGGCTGTCAGCTTTTATAAAGTACCGTACCTAAGTTATTTAGCCAATTTGTAGACAATAAGGTGTAGGCTACTTTAAACTCTACACGACAGAGTTAGGCAAAAACTCGGAGAACTCTGAAATGGTGTTATTTATCATAGGCTTACTCATATGCCAAATCCTTAAAATAAAAAAAATCAATAACTAATACCTTATATCATTAAACACAAACCAACATCCAAAACTATACACATTTTTAATACAACATAGATAATTTACACATTTACTGTTTACAATTAACATATGTTCTTCTTCTCACTATTAATTTTTGCTTCGCAGCGGGAAAAATCTGTTTCATAATCATTGAAATATATTTATTAAATAATCGATCATATAGTTTAAGATTAAATAAACCTACCACATAGTTGTTTTATTTTTTTGGGTCAGCTGTATGAAATTTTGAAATAGGCATTTGACAGTTCTGGTTGTTTACATTTAAATGTCAAAGCAAATGTAAACATTGTGAATTTTCTAATGCTTCCATGGAGACCAATTATTAATATTTAATTTCTGACAACAGCTGGAGTTTCAAAACATTTGTTTCCCATGTTAATCTTATGGAGAAATACGAAACTTTAAAGGGCCCCAGGGCCTCACTCTCTAATTATTTCCCTAAAAAGAAAGTTTCCTGCACAACTTCACGTTACGCTCTTTCCAATGACACCAAAAACATGTCAATCGGTTCAGTAGTTTCGGAGGAGTAATTGTCACAAAAATCCTGCTTGCGTATTAAATAAGTATAGATGTCCTTTTTTCATTATACTCAATGTCAGTTGCTTTTGTCAAATGGCGAGAAACTTATTACAGTATCAATTTGTTAGCAAGTAAAGATACTGGCCGTGTTTTTGCTTATGATTTTATTTACGTTTGAAGAATGTTATTTTACGTTGTAATATCACACCCTTTTTCTGTGAAATGAGCAAAAAACCAAGTGGCAGTGAGTTTAGAAAGAGGGCGACATAAAAGATTAGTACGGTAAAAGTGTTACAAAAAGTGCCTAAAATAAGTAGCCTAGTTTTTACTGTCATTAAAATCATTTAGGCCTAAATGATGATGTGTACAGAAAGTGATGTAGGTAAATCTGAAAATGAACTTTGATGATGTTAAGTTATTGACGAGTTGGCCGAAAAAAAAATGTAGAAAAAACCAGCCATTTTACGGTATTGACTTTTTGGAGTTTTAAATGTTTGCAATTATAACTTATATAAATTAAAACTATGTTTAAATTCACACTTTTTTACAACTAAACCAATTTTACTTTTAAGAACGCACCATTGGAAATATAAGTGTGTACGGTATCTAAGTAACAGTTAAACTTTAATTGATGGTTTACGTTTTTAGTTACTAAGCGGGTAATTAAATTAACAATCAAAAGTAAACACAATGAGTGTTCTTATATTTGTTAGGCCTATATTGCAGATGCGCGAGCAACTCATAAAATGTCTATATTCATTTTATAATTCAAATCAATGTCGGCAGGGTGGGGGGGGGGCTATGAGCGCAACTATGACTTGGGCCCATAGCGTATCACATAACTGACCGCGGGCCTGAACTTACCCCCGAGTGTAGATATAACTTAACCTAAAAATACAGAGGAGTGTGACGGCTGGGACTGAACCTGCTAAGGGAAAAACTTAAGAATTGAACTCACAGTCAACTGTGTATAAAATATAATTTGCCCGTTGATTTTCAGTGGCGTAACAGAAGGGCCGGCAATGCGGGGTGCCCGGGAGCTGGGGGGGGGGGGGGGGCGGTGGGCAGAGAGACCCACTAATTTGTTTAGGGTACCACTCTTTTTATGATTAATCTGTTTGATCATTGTATCGGTGGTCCTAAAATAGCTCTGGGGGGAGGGGGAGGGCGATTCACTATGTTGAATCGGTGGTCTAAAAATAACTCATAAGAGGGGGGCCCAAAAAATAAGTTTGTGCTAAATAATGTATGGAATCTCGAACGTTTCTTTTTCTAAATGCTGGGCCCAAATACACTACTTTACTTCTTTGCATTTGCCCGATTTCGAGCAACATGTAGGCTAGGCCTACACTAGTTTATTATAAATGAAGGTCCTATAATCTAAGCTTCTTACAAACAGATTTGTAAACTTAAACTTTTCTGCCATCCTTGTTGAAAATAATAACATACCGTACTTTTAAACAAAAAAGCTTTTTATAAAACACCAGACTTGTTAAACTAATATAATAGTAATAGAGGTTGAAGAGTTAAGCATTTTTATAATGTGTTTCAGGTCAGTTATCTTCGCACGGTTGGCGGGGCCAGTGTTGAGGACTCAACAAGACGGATCCTTGTAAGACTATTCAAAAATGAGCTTGCGAGAGAATTTAGTTGGGAAGGAAGAGGAGGAAAGAAGTGGAGTCTGCAGAACTCTGCATCGGTGCAGTTGATTTGCTGTAAGTTTTTAACATTTGGTTTATAATGTTACTTTTATTTATTCTTTCAATGATAGGCCTATATTTGACATTTATTTATTTTTCTATAAAGTCAACTCAACCAAAGTAAGTAATTTATTTTTTAACCCTGTTTTTACCATCATAAGTTTTATTATTTAACTAATAATTGGTATGTACATATACGTCATACAGTAGCCTACATTACTTCATACCCCCACTTGAAAATGCCATTCTGGCGAAACATCTTGTTATTCTTTACATACGTTTTTAGCAGTATGGCGTAAAGTTACGTAACAATTATTAGTCAATAAAAAGGTTCAGGGGCTAGATCAATGGATTTTAATTATATTAATTTATCATCTTATAATTAATTATCATAGGCTATATGATATTAATTTATGATGTTACACACATTTTTTGTCTGTAGAATGTACCGTACCTATCCTTTTTTTCTGCACTGTACTCTTTAAACCTCTTCAATACTTTGATTTCTTGATTGCAACTTGTTAGTTTAGCTCAAAAAGAAACGATTTTGCTTAACACGTTCAGTGCGGCAGGCATTCCAACAAGCGCTCGCCAATGGCGGCGAAGCCCCGGCGCGGTGCCGTACCAACAGCAAACGCAATTGGCATTCAAATATTTCAATCTGACGAAAAACAAAAGAGCAGCGGCGATTGTACTACGTTACCCCGAGATTGAACGTAGTTCCCTAAAACACCCAAAGGTAGCAGCACTGCCTGGATCAGTAGTCAGTGGCTTTGTAATATGGCTTGAAGAGAGAAAATCCCTAAAACCGGTACAAAAGCATTGTCAGACGGGATTTTACGGGAAATTTTAGTACCAACCTACACCAAAATAAAGCTTACATTCTAAGCTACGGGCTAGCAACGATTTTAACGTTCCCCGGCAATGGCTGAGCGCATACTGAACTAATGTAGTGGGGGTTGCGCAACTACATCAATTGATGTAGGCCGCTCGTGTCGCGACTACATCAATTGATGTAGTCAGCACTAAACGTGTTAAAAAAAATGTTAAAAATGAAAACGTTAAAAATGAATTAATCTAAGTTTTGCCATCAAGAAAACAAAGGATTGATTACCAAAAGATATGTTGCTCTAAGCGTGAATCTTGTGCGTACCCTAATATTACCTTATACACAGGAATACAGACATTGACACAAGTGTGAATTTTGTTTCAGGTGTAGTTCGTCAACAACACCCGTCCTCATTCGATCTCACAACGTTTGAGAAAAAAACCAGCGAATGGTTACGCCAAGCAGGAACAAGGATTTATGTCAAAAATAAAAATTTAGGCCTACCGCAGATGATCAATTAAATAGTTTTTTCTTGACATTTCTTCATTGTTTCATTTATATGTTCCTTTAAAAAGTGTGTTAATAAACAACAGAAACAATTTTATAAAAACAACTTTTATACTTGAATGTATTAGGGTACTTGTGATTACATCTGAACAAATTTACTCATTTTTTGTATTTTTGTGCATTTATTTTTTGTTTTTTTATTGTGCAAGTATTTTTTGTGCACAATTTAGAATAGGTCTTAAAAGTTACTACAAAATCTATTATTATTTGTTGAGCCTAGCCTTCTTGTTTTCTCACATTAAATAAACAACAGGGAAAATGGAAAGCTAAAAAACAACATTTTCATGTAAGAATAAGATTCAGTTAAAAAAACTAGAAATTATTCATCAGTTGTGAGAAGTGAGTTAGTATTTTTTTTTACACTTCCAGTTGTTATAATCATACTGTATTATTATTAATAATAGGTTATTTTTCTTAACTATTTCAACTTAATCTTCTTAACATTCAAGCTAGTTATTACTATTAATTATTATCAGCTGAATAATGCTTGGTAATAGAAACACTAATATAATAAACATATTATTATTTACTTTTTTATGCAAATAAATGCACTATCCAAAATGCTTGTTAAGTGGTACCTATTCTCAACAAGGTAATTTAATAAGTATTTCTCAAATAATCTTCAATGTACGATAATTAAAAAAATTTAAAGCTGTCTTGGTCTAATATTTGTTAAGGTAGTTGCCATATTCTTTATCTTCCCTACTTCATTAAAACACATATTCTTTAAAGGTAAAATCATTTGTTTTTTTGTGGCTGCTACCATTTTTAAGGAAGTCTACAAAAATTGCATAATTCTCTCATTCTTTGGTTTAATTATGATATGAAAATAAATGCTGATAGCTAGCCTACACCAACAATAAGACATTTCATTTTGCATACTGTATTGTAATGATGTAGTAACTGTAATAGGTGCTCTTTCCCCTTCTAGACTTTCACTAGGGCCCCTCTGGTTCACCTTAGGAGCTTCGGATGTGATCCGTACCCCGAGGTCCTACGGGCCTGCTTCAGATGAAACTACTGAACAGCAGTAGGTTGTCCCTAAACTAGATCAATTAGGTATTTACCTGACAAATCACAAAACACATATTTCTAATGAAGACTTAAAATATTGTTTTACCATCATACAACACACCAACCCTCATGACACATAGTTCACCTCCCATAACAAATGCCTTCAAAGAAAACTGTTAGTAAAAATCAATGTATATAATTTTATATATTGATTTTTATGACAATTGTATTTTGAGCCACTTTTTATTAATATGGCATCAAATATGTATCATCTATGTATAAAATATGTATTTTATACATTTAAGGTATGCATCAATTTCTATCAAAATTTACAGATTATATACAGATGTATAATATGTATCATATCTGTAGTTGGATCCTTATACAATATGCAAATAATACATATTTAGGTGGGACATATTTACAGATACAATCTGTATTGTATACATTTCTATACAGATTGTATACAAAAGCTATACCATGCCGGTAGGTAAATTATACGTATTATATACATATTTGTGCTACTTGGGGTAATTCTTAATAAAATTACATCTGCTAATCATATCGATCCATACAGGATTATTTCTGCCTGGATTGCCAAATCTGGCCAAGATTTCTGGTAAAATTTTATGTCCAAGAGTAATCGAATCCAAATAAAAACGCCACCACTTTTTTGAATTCCCGCAAGTAACGCAATACCTACCTTATGAATGGCCAAAGACGAGAATAGGAATATTTTGTCAGTTTTTGTCCCTTTACAAAAGGTAACGTAAACGTTTTAATTACTGTACATTAATGTATATACTGGATACGTATAGCGTATACCAAGTAAAGCCATAATATCCCTTGTTATTTATGTATGGGGTAATTTATTGAGGGTGCAATCATTGAATATTGTTAACCGAATATGTATCTGTAAAAATCTCTTAATTTAAAGTTACAGACAGAGTTCTTTAAAGAAACTCAATTTGCAGTAGGAGGGTTATTTAAATAATAATGTTTAAAATTCGACTAATTTATTAATAGACAGTATAGACTCAAACTTATATGTTTTTTAGTTTCCTAGTTTTGATCTAGTATTTCTCAGATAATTCGTCGATCAAAATATAATTGAGTCGTAGATTTCAAAACACATTACGATGCAGCTGGGGAGAGCCGAATGCTCCTGTTTTTGTTTGCTAAGTTATAGCCTAGTCTATAAAAATATATTCTGTAGAAATCGGTGGAACAACCTAGTCATGATTATGGCATAATTTTTTCAAGGGCAACAATTTAAAAATCGTTTATTATAATTTATCCTGTTAACCAGATATTTTTTCGAGAGGATTTTCAAACAAACAAAATGCTAAACTCTTGTGATAAAGAAGTGCAAAAGCTGATCAGTTTCTGGTGAGTGAAACTGATCAATGATTCCCGTTTTCTTAAGTTTTTACAACTATTAAGAGAAAATAGGCTACACATGTTTTCAGTGTTCACTGATAAATAAATATTCCATTTTAATGTCGTGAATAGACATAATGAGAACTTATTTTCACAACTACAAGAACATACTACTATTTGAGATAAAATAAGCAGCGTCAACTGTTGTAAAATGAACTTGATTTTTGATTGTTGGTGCACGCAAGCACATGGGCTTACACTCTTGAGTGATCTTGTATGGCAATTTTATTTTTGTATTATTCCACTATGTCGTAGCCATAAATTAAAACTCTAAATGGCAATATGTTACAAAATCAATGGTTATATGTTGGGAAATACTCCAAAGTATTGTTTCACATGTCAGTGTATAAGTGTTTAAGCAACATCTTTAAATCCTAGGACGCTTGGCCCATAATTACTTCATGCTATGCAGGGAGTTGTGGCATTACCAATAGCTAACCACCATTGGTAATTGGCAAAAGTCCTCCGGGAGAAGTTGCCCCTTGCTCTATTACTACACCAGCTATCTCCTCAGGCTGGTGTTAGCCAGTGATATTAGCATACCATTATCAGATTCAATTTAACGCTAGCGTCCAAACCAAAAAGTGTGTATTTATTTGCTGATAATATTGTATTGCATACCACAACAATGATATTTTTAGTAAAAAATTAGACCTAATCATGATAACACGTTTCAAAAAATAATTTTGAAACGTGTTAGTGATGTCAGTGCAATATCCAATTTTACACTCACACCCAAACCGAAAGATCGTGTGCTAATCTACAGTGCGTTCAAACAGCCGAGGCACCTGAGGGATTAGGAGACCCCAAGCCCAAGGGTTTACATGGGGTCTCCTAATCCGTCAGGTGCCACGGCTGTTTGAACGTAGTGATCAGCGTAGTGGACCTCGGCGCGGGAGGCTCGGGTTGGATTCCCGGCACATCCCCAAAACTTTAAGATTTGGATCGTTTTTTCCACACATTAGAATTTTGTGTATGTCAAAAAATCCACTGATAGCCTATTCTAAAACTCACCTCGCGAGTACAACCAGGCGACTTCCAGTATACACCGTATCCACACACACACGTACACGCACACACTGTACTATACTGTACTGTACTGTACTCCTGTACTCCAGTAAGGTACTGTACTGCCTCCACCTCCTGAGGCCCGTGTCCATCAGAGCATGGCTTCCGCCACGAGCCACGCAACTCGTTAATTACTGACACTCCACAAAGACTCAGTCCAAGGAAGTACTTCTGGAGTTAGCTTTAATTGTCCCCGAGGTGGTGACGAATAAGGAAAGTATTACAAATATTTAGAAAATAAAAACTTCCCAACTTTTTATTTGGAAGTATAAAAGGTGTTGCGTCAATTGATCCTTAAGTTAACTACGGCCGTTTCGTACTGCTAAACGAGTACATCTTCAGGTTGTATATGAACGTTAAAATACGGCCTTCTCATCCGTGGATGGAGTCGTCAGCACATTTAGGACACATAACACGAAATACATGCGAAACATTAAAATATTTACAGTTAAAAACTTGGCCAAATAGTACGAACACGAGAGTTGCGTAACTCGTAGCGTTAGAGATGAGTCATTTTTATTTGGGTTTAACTTTTTGATTTCTTTGTAGATTACGAAGTATAGCTTGATTGTAAAGATGTGTGAAACGTCTTTTGGTATATTTCGACCCCGCTATCCCTGAATTTTCTGCTGGATAATAATTATGGAGACTTGAAAAAGAAACGTGATAGCAGAACATTCCGTAATCTGGCAGATGAAGATTTTTCGACGTTGGACAGAGTAAGCCATACTACTAATATAGAAAATTATATAAAAATGTAGAAAATTATACAAGAACTAGAGCTGTTTGTCCGCTTTGTCCGATATAATTGGGTGTTTAAAACCCGCTGCAATTGCCTTTTTCATTAATTTATTGTCTGTTCTTTTACCAGGAGCTTCAAATTACTCCCTATATGTTTTTTTCACAAAAATACTATTCCTTCGGTCAAAATAAAGAGAAAATCAAGAATAACATGTTTTCCAAAAATCACTTCGTTAACCAGGTATTCGCCATTTTGTATTTTTACATAAACATTTTTATTTTTAGGTAATTTCAACCGATATTTATGAAACTTGGTATGTATGTTAAGGTAGAAGAGACATTTGTTATAAAAAATATTCATCTTATTCAACTTAAAATAAAATGGCGGCAATTTTATTTTTTAACTTAAATTATAAAAAAAACAGCTAATTTTATAAAAAATGTCAAGAAAACTTTGATTTAGCGTTTTTCATTCCCTATCTAACACCGGAATTTTACCCCCGGAATGGACATGGTAGTTAAATAATGCTTCTAGGAAAAATTGAGTCGATCGTAAAATACTCTCTAGCTGCCTATACGATTAACCACTGCTCCAAAAAAAAAAAAAATTTTTCGTCAGGATGATTTGAACAATGCAAGCCTATTAAAGATCAGCATAGAGGGTTTTACCACCTTCAGCCAATACGTTAATTACGTTTATGACACTTACTATTGATACTTCATTATACGATCGACCAAGAAACCAAGTAGGAAACACTTCACCAGCACCAGGTAAATTATCCACCTCCCTCGTTTTCAAGAGACACTCGTGTCTTCTTTTTCTCTATCTTAGGCTCATTTCCTGCAGCTCTGGGAGGTCTCGCCGTCAAGTGAGTAGGATTCTATCGTCTACAAGGACTAAGCAGTTGTGATAAATTAAATAAATTTACATTATAATATTAATGATGAAAATTAATAATAATAGAAATATTATTTGATAAAGATTGTTTAAATCATTAATACTATTGTAGTATAGTGTAATAACAATTAAGCTTTTGCTGTCACTAGTGGTAGAGTATAATAAAATCAATAGCAGTAGCATTGTTAAATATCAGTAGAGTTACATGGCAAGTAAATCAAAAAAGGAATTTAAACAAAACAAATACTTCCTTCCTTCGCCTCGCCTTCGCCATTCGAACTTCGAAGTATTGTTCGAACGGCTGGGCTAGGTTGGTGGGTTGGCTAACCTGGGTCGTCATCGTCGTCGTCTGCCGAGTGCCGTTCTGCCATTGTCTTGTTCTCTTCTCTTCCTATGTTGAGTGGAGTGTTGGTTGAGTGTTGTTGTTGTTCTTGTTTTGTTTTATAATTATAACTTATAAGAGTCGCCTAGCACTATCTTCTTTGAAGTAGTGAGTTTCTTTCTTAATCAGGTGTATTTAGAGTGGTTATTTTACTACAGTTTTACTGTCCTTCATGTTTTGACAATACCTGCCAGCACTGCTTAAATAAAATAAAGGATCTACCCTTCAGATATTTTACGAAGTTGTTGTTTCCTAACCTATACAGTAGATAGTCGGTTTTTGCTATGTCGGTTCTTCGTATTTTAATACGATTCAACAAGTTACATTTTGGAAGGCTGGCTATCGCAAACTCTAAAATTAATCCAATTGGCAACTGTGGGGCCGCAGTAAGTGCTCTTTTCTTATCCTCTCTTACATTATAATGGTCCATTTGTCCCAAAACCAAATTGTGCAATGAATTGTGGGGCTATCGGTAGGTTTCACCAGTAATTTTGAGGCCTGTGTGTATAACTTTACTTTACCTATGTAAAATTATAATAAGGCCCCAAATTTTGTGTACCCCTACCCAAGTGTGTTTTTCGATGTAGGCCTAGGTATTACAAACGCTTTTAAGAGAAAGTGGGGGAGCTATTTCATTTTAGTGAAAATGGAGGAAGGAATTACACTCATCCCTCTCTTACTAAAGTCTAGGATCCCAACCCCTTGTAGGTCACCCTAGTGTGTTTTTTTCTTTTTTTTCTCTCGTATCTACGCCAGTGGCATTTTTGTACAGTAATGAATTTTACAACACTTTTAAGGGAAAGCGGTCCAAACCCACTAAAGTATTATGGATGTGCCCGGGATTGAACCCGTCCCTCCCGCACCGAAGTCCGAGACGCTAAGCACTAGGCTAGCAACACACCCAATTTATTTATTTATCATACGGTAAACACCATTTTTACAATCGATAATACATGAGGGCAATACAATAAAATATTTATAAATATATATAAGTCAGATTCAGATTCATCTTGCTGAAAAAAAAGATTGCTAACATGAAAAAATGACACCAACAGGATTGTCCAAAAATGCTTTAACAAAAATTGGATCATGCGTATTATAAATCCTAGTTAACAAGCATAAACATTTTTAGAGAAAAATACGATTACCAAAACTGATAACAATTGATAAATATTTCAATATAATAACAATAACAAGCAAAAATATAAATATATTTGACAGACAAGAAAAAAAAGAAAAAAAATGACAACAATTAATAACAGTGACGTAAACTAAGTGAAAAATTTTAACAGTACAATACAAATTTATCTGAATGTGCAAACAACAAACAGGTGCAAATTCCGGACAGTGATCTCAGGACAATTTCTCATCAACAAAAAACAATAACAAAAACAACTTAAACGATGATATTTTTTATGGCTTTCAGTTTGCAGGTGAACACGTCAACATGTTGGCATGCTTGATTTCCAATTCTGTGAAGCCGTGGAATTGTACTGTGGAAGGCGTAGTTTGTAGAAAAAGAAGCTTTGTTGAAGAGTTGAATGTGCCTGAAGTGTCGAGGAACGTGGAAATTAATTAGGCGAAGTATTTCTGGAGCATCAACTTCGCCGTTCAACAACTTCCAGAGGAAAGACAGGTCTGCAGATTGTCTACGGTCACTCAGTCGAGGAAGGCCCATATCGATGCGAATATCTTCAATCGGCACTGTATAGAATTCATGGCCCAACTTGACGCCAATAGAGCGAAGAAAGCGATTCTGAATTTTTTCTACTCTTGATATGTGGCTGATTTGATGTGGATTCCATATCAAGCTGCCATATTCCAGCACAGGCCTAACCTGAGTCATGTAAAGAGTTCTCAGAGCATTAACATCAAGTCCGTATCTACCACATCTAATGACAAAACCTAGAGCTTTAGAGGCTTTATTGCAGATTGTATTTATGTGCAGGTCTGGGTTTAAATCGTATGACATTAAAACTCCTAGGTCTCGTATGGCACTCTTCCGTGGCAGGATGGCATTATTCATCGTGTAGTAGAAGTCAATACGCTGCTCGGTACGGTGATAAGATACCACTGCAGACTTTGAAACATTGATATCCATGCTGTTATCCAGGCACCAATTGTCGATTGAGTGCAAACATTGTTGAAGGGTGGAACAGTCTGCCTGAGATTTTATACACTTGAAAACCTTGATATCGTCAGCAAACAGCAAGCACTGAGAGTCGATACTATCCACAACATCGTTAACAAATATATTGAAAAGAAATGGACCCAGATGAGAACCCTGGGGGACTCCAGAAACCGCAGGGAAAGGGATTGACTTGGCTCCTGCAAACTTGACAGCTAAGGTGCGGTCTTTAAGATATGATTCAAACCATCGCAAAAGGCTTCCGACTATGCCATACCCTTTTAATTTTGCCAAAAGATGGTCGTGGCTGATGCAGTCGAATGCTTTACTAAAGTCAATATAGATACAATCTAGTTGCTCCTTGGATGAATATGCTGTGATTATGTGATGTTGCAAAATAAGAAGATTAGTGTTTGTAGATCTACCCTGCATAAAACCATGCTGAGCCACACTTAACAAGCTCTTGAAGGGAAAACTAATTGCATCAAGAAGGAGACTCTCAAAGATTTTTGCGAGTGCAGGCTGAATCACAATGGGTCTATAGTTTTTTACTTCCTCTTTAGACGCAGACTTGTGTATTGGTACTACGAAGCCCATTTTAAATTCAGCAGGAAATACACCAGATGCTAAGCTGTCATTGTAAAGAACAGTTAGCTGGGGAGCAATGAGTTCGCTACAGTGTTTTAGAACGGATGGAGGTATTTCATCAGGCCCGATTCCTTTGTGAGGATCCAGTGACTTCAGTTTCTTCAAGACATCTTCAGGGGATAAGACGCAAGATGAAATGTTGAGATGAGTGTCGAATGAATACACTGGTGGTGGAGTTGAAGGTTGTCTATATACAGAAGAGAAATAGTTTGCGAATAGATTACATGTTTCAGCTGGATCAGACGCATGCTGTCCATTGAATGTATAACTGCATGCCGAGTCTCTATCACGCTTCATTTTGTTTACAAAGCTCCAGAAGATTTTTGGGTTACTAGGCACAGAAGAGTTTATATGGGCAACATAATCAGAGAAGCATTTGTCAGCAAGTATTTTGCACCTGGCTCTAGCTCTACTGAACTCCTCGTAGTCGGCGCGTAGCAATGAATATTTGTACCGAGCATGAAGTGACTTCTTGAGCACGACTAGTTTCTTCAACTCGGCATTGAACCAACATGGAAAACGTGTGGCCCCAAGTTTCTTCATAGGTGTGAACTGTAGAACTGTAGATCTGATAGTTTCCAAGAACCAGCTGAAGATACTGTCTTGCATTCCTGGGATCCTATAGTAGACTGTGCCCAATTTGTTGAGGAGACTCTGATATATCATATCAAGATCACATCTGTTGAAATCAGGGACATAAAGTGTGCTTTTTTGATCGGCAAAGGTATCCACATTTAGATCGATAGATAAAGCTGGGTGGTGAGTATCTTCAAGAGTTAGAATATTGTCCAATGCATGTGAGACTTTAGTAGAACTAGACGAGGAAAAGACCAGATCAAGAGTGACTCCCCTGGCATTAGGCACATTGTTAACTTGATAAAGGGAATGTAGAGTTGCCAAGTCTATCAGTCTTCTAGAGGAGTTACAAGATGGCATAATTATATTAGCAGTCCAGTCTACATGCGGCAGGTTGAAGTCACCAAGGAGGAGACACATGAAGAAGTTGGGCCCGGTTGATAAGATCTCATCAACACCTTCACAAAAGCGATCATAATCAGCCGATGGTCTTTGTGGGGGTATGTAAGAGGTTACAATAAGCATATTTATATGAGGGTTTATCTGGAGACTCAAAAAAATACATTCAATATCGGGAACAGGAGATGGCAATTCCTTGACTTTCAACTCTAATTGATTGTGTGTTGCTGTAATTCCAAATTAGATTAGTAGTTGCTATTTAAATAGGCCAAATATAATTTTGCTGTCAGCTGTCTGTATAGGTACATACTAGGACTAACAGCACAGATTTTATCGTGACAATGTTGCTGTTCTTTAGATTGCTTATGGAAGTCCTGAATGATTGATGTCCTGTATTGTTCTTTAGTCATAGTAATCGTTTCCCCATTCTGTATTTCAACAAAATAAGGTCCAATTATTCAAACAGTGCTACACCACAGCAAGCAATTACCTAACTACAAAGGCCTTTGGAAGAGTTCTTTGAACATTTTATATTGGCCAGTAATGACAATTCTGTGTGTTGACACACAAGTGGAAATGAGCTTCTTCAGACACTAGACGCTCGAGGAGTATTTCACCTTCAGTAACCTGCAAGAGTCTTTTATCAAAAATCAGACATAATCTAGGGATATATCTCGATTATGTCGTTGCTCATATCGTTGGGTCATATCATCTCGTTGCTGTTGTTGTGCTGCAACAATAAAAATGTTACGCATGATAACAGCTGAGTAGGCCTAACAGCTGTTTGAAAACTATCTGTTATTTATGGACCACCCGTTAACACAGCTGTAAAGGTATAGTTGTAATAAAATATTTTTTTTAGGTTGTACACTCCTCTCTGCTAAGTCAGATAAGAAATCTGCCAATCCGCACATATTGTGAAGAAAAGTCAGAAGAAAGTGATGACCAGGCTAAGAAAATAGTTGACTCAGCCAAGGATAGATCGAAGGTCATTCCTGTAGATGTTAGCATACAGTACTTACAAAGCTCAGGTATGTAGGCCTACATGTACATTGAAACTTATTATTAGAACAATAATGAGATTTCCGAATCTAATTCAGAGTGTTATTTATTCCAAAATTCCTACTGGTACATTACCTACTCAATTGTGAAAAACCCTACAAATTGGGCTGTAAATAATAGAGTTGAACCTGTCAATTTTGATGGGTTGATTATATTTCACTTAGCTCTACCATGAAATAAAGATGTTCTGAAAAAATGATCTCACAACTGAGCCATCGATGCCCTTACAGCTACTTTGCTCTATCCTGTTGAACGACAAGTTCCTGAAGTTAATTTCTTTAATTTTAGGCACATACACATTCTCAAGCATCTTCACATCTATATTCACTGTAATAGTCCCATTTTCTGTAATAAGTCTCCAATAAAACTTTATCGGGGTTAATAAATGCCAGTAATTCATTTTTTCATGGTTTTGCTTGTTAAAATTTGCACAGTGCACACTTGTAGGGACGATGTAGAATTCATGGTCTACGTGTAGAATTTGTATAGGCCTAGTTGGAAAGTCCAAGGACAGACACGTGTTTTTAGTCAGAACCTATCTGGGTATCGCAAAGCTTGAGAAAAATGATATTTAGGCTTTAACCCTTTCAGTGCTAGGCCAATAATTCATATTTTGTAAGACTTTTTTGTTTGCCTTTTAATTCCATTACCTGTTGTTGAATTTTAACTGTCATGTTGTCACTATTTTATTAATTAGGCTAATTTTGAATAATAACACAATAAGAAAATTATATAAGAAAGATAAATCCCGGTACTTGTAGTAAACATTAAATAAAACTTAGTTTTTGTTGTAATTTTTCTGGCTTTCCTATAAGTTTTTATGTTCTGATAGCATTATTTGAAACCAAAATCTCATAAAATCAAAAGACATATAGTTTACAATGTAATATTGAATTTAACCTTGATTTAGTTGGACGAGGTTATCGTAATATAGCCATTTTAGGGAAACTAATGTTTTGCAGCAAAGTCTCAGGAACACATTTATGATCACTGTTGTGTTTAAACTAAAAGATTTCATCTAAATAGTCCGTGACTAACTGGTGCTGCTACCTAGTAACGCATTGAACAACCATCTGTAGCGCTATCTGTTCGCAATCGGTGGCGACAGCTTAAATACCGGTTTTTGACTCCTCATTCTTCAAGCACAGATAGCCGAGAAGGCTAGGGCGTGTGTCATTTATTTGTTTTATGGTAACTGTAGGAAAAATATAATGTGCAACTCGAGTGCAAAGTGCTATTGCCTCACTCGAGAAACCATTCCTCACTCGCCTACGGCTCGTGAGTAAATATTTCTCTTGAGTGAGTCAATTGCTCCCTTTGCTCACTAGTTGCACAAATAACTATTGCATACCGTTAACAGGTTCGACAATGTGATTATTTCCATGCGGTGGCAACAAAAATATATTTTTTGATATTAGCCTTGACACACCTAAGTGTCTTAAATTTAAAATCAAGTATAACGTGCTGTGAAAGGAGGCAAGAAGGGCATGCTGAAATAAGAAGTCTTATTATTCCAGTAAAAATCCAATATAATGAAATAAACTCTTAAAACTAACAATTGTTCAGTATGATATTGACCTTAGAAAATTAACAAAATTAATATCTTCACTTAACCAAAATAAACATTACAATCATTACTAACCCCCCCCCCCCTTTATTTTGCCCTCCCCTTTCTTTGATCGATCAAACCTTATATATAAAAATCCCCCTAAAACTTCTTGTCCTCTCCAAAGTCCATACTTTCCTACTTTACAACACGAATATAGGCCTAATCATTAAACTTGAAAATATTGATGTGTAACATGGTGAAGGGTACTCATCACTTCACGGATGCTGTCTTCAATCCTTGGTGGAGCTTCAGTGAGATGATCTGAGCCGGAGACAGTCTACTGGTGAGAAGACGTCCATGGTTTGCAAACTGATAGTCCCCAGATGGTTGTCAGGCCCCCAAGAAGGTGATACTGGTCCAGGCTCCTCCAGACAGCAGATAGGCGATGGTGTACTCTCCGACGATGTTTCTCTGGGACTTGAACCCTCCAAATCGAGGGAACAAGTTGACTGTCGGCCACAACTACGCAAAATGAGATTGAAACAACGTGGTTCTCCTCCAAATTATGAATCATCGCTACCCTCAGCCTAGTCTCGAACACTTGCCACCAGACTGCGCGTTTGCAGTTACCAATGCTGGCATCGACTTGAACTAAGAAAACCGGTTTCTTCTAGTTTTCCAGGATTTGTACTCACATTCAATTCTATTTCCTTATAACATATGAAAATAAAATATAATTTCTGTCACAATCGTGACAAATCTCCCCTTTCAAACAAAAAATATTGTTTTGCAAATCAAAATAAAACGCATTTTTTTTGTTTTCTCCATTTTTTTTCTCGGTGTCATAATCCACACCATAAACCCTTCAAACAACACGGTTCGACGACCTATAATCACAGACGTTGAAAAGTAAACAAACCTTTCCGCTTGCATTATCTCTTATCAAACATCTGACCCAACTATCAAGGTCGCGTTCTCGCCGCGCGCTTATTTCAGGTTGCTTACATCTCCTCCCCTTTCATTACTCAACATTTTACTCAATTATTTGATACAATTGTCAAACTTTCAGTTCATTTAAAATTTCATGTTAGTAGCCTGGATTACATTGCTAACCATACTATCTCATAACATGAATTGATGAATACCAATATACTCATTACTTCCTTCTCATAGGTCTCAAAATTACTTATAAACTAACACATATCTATTTACAATATAATACAAGAAATATTACATTTGTTTAAAACACATCACTGAAAACACAACATTTTTAAATAGGCGCCTATTTTATATACATTGTTTAATATCTAACATCAACATGGCATAAGAAATGTTATAATTTTAATTACATACGCTTAATTCTACCTTTTTCTAATAATTTTCCAAATTTGCATAATTATAAATACTACACACACATATTGGTCTTCTTTACACTGTTATGAAGAAAGAAACCTGGCCATGTAACTTCCTTCTTACAGACTGTGCGTGAAGAAGAGATAAGACCTTTGTTGCTTCATTCACTCGCGTCCGAGTGATAAGCAAAAATTCCAATCGTATTGTAGTAAAATTCAATTATATCATTTTATATTTTAGATGTATAAATTCTTTCACTTTTACTGATTGTTAACGTTTACTATCGGATTCCAGTCTATTCTGCGTTCCTAACAATAATCTCGTCATGCTTCGCTCTAAAGTGTCAAGCTTCGCGTTCCATATCAATTAATTAATTGTGTCATTAATTCAGGCTTCGCTGATAACCTTCCACTTAGGCGTTCAATACCACGTTATTATTCAGGCTTCACAACAAATATTCACAGAAATCTACTAAGTTACTATGTACATATAATCATTTCTTATCTCATGTCATCACAATTGCCCTACTTTAATCATACCATCTTTAATTGATCAAGGTGCGCTCTTTGAATGATTTTAAAATCTGATACTTTTTGCAATAACACGGTTACAGGTGTCAAGAAATGGATAATCCTAAACTTTTCGGACCATTTGTATGCAAGTTTTGCTTGGAATTTGGCTGCCTTGTTACTAATATGGTGAAGCCTTACATACACTTCGTCAAACAACTTAAATGGATGTTTACTACCTTCTTTTACTAATCTCCGTTCCTTGGTTTTAGCGTGAGCAAGCCTTAGATTTCTTATCGCAGTACTAAACTTGGCCTTTATTCCTCCCTTATCAGTTGCATCACCGAGTAACTCCTTTACCTTCCACAATGTCGACAAACTACAATTTGGCTCAAAGTTGTACATAAGTTCAAATGCCGTGTGTTTGGTTACATCATTTACAGCAGTATTTATTGCTAACTGTACATAATGCAAATTACTATCCCAGCTGTCATGACAATCGTGATGTAGAGCTACCATGCTACCTTTTACAGTTTTTATGTAGCGCTCGCTCTTATTCGACTTTGCATTATACGCCACAATCCTGTGTAATTTCACACCATATTTGAAACAGAAATTCTTAAACTCATTTCCTCTAAAGTAAGCAGCATTATCACAAACAATCATCTCAGGTGTTCCTACATGTTTAAAAACCTGTGTTTCCAATGCCTTAACAATATTGCGTGTTTTTGCATCTCTTAATGGAACTAACCAGACATACTTAGTGAAATCATCTACTACCACTAACAACATACTATTGCCTATCTTACTCCTCGGGAAACTACCTGCAATGTCAATATACAGTTTACTCATAGGTTTTGAAGCTTGGTAATCTACTATTTCTCCATGATACGTACGCTGACATTGTTTAGATCTAGAGCACTCCTCACACTTTCTTACATAATTTCTTATGTCATCTAACATCCTTTCCCAGAAAAATATATGCTTTATCTTATTCGCTGTCTTAGAAATACCTAAATGACACCCTGTGCTAACGCTGTTGTGAAAATAATGTAACACCATATCTTTCATTGCTTCCGGAACTACAATCCGACCTTTTACTTTATTAGGTGGTTTGAATAATACTACTCCCTGACTCATCGTGTATGGTGACACCTTATCACCATTCTGTATCTGACCTATAATCTTTGAAAGGTTTTCATCTTTTCTTTGGTGCTCACGTATGTCAGTAAAGGCTGCTGGATACTCCGTTAAGTTATTAATTACATTATTAAGGCTGATTTCCTTATTCATTACACAACTCAGGTTATTTACCAACTCATTTATCTTATCATCTGACATCTCACTTTCAACTTCAATATTGGGATATCCCTCAAACATCCTAGACAAGCAATCCGCAATCTTATTATCCTTACCTTTAATGTGCTTTACTTTGAAAGGTAACCCCAATATTAACTCTGTCCAGCGCCCCAATTTACCTAACTTATTGTGGTGTGATAAAACCCAAGATAAACTTTGATTGTCCGTCTCTAAATAAAATGGCATAACTTCCAGGTAACTCCTAAACTTTTGAATCGACAGTACAACTGCTAATGCTTCCTTTTCGTAAACAGTAAGGTTTAGTTCCTGCTTTGTAAACTTCTTAGAGTAATAATGTACTGGAAATCTAACACCATCGATCTCTTGCAATAACACTGACGCCAAACCTACTTGGCTCGCATCTGTTTGCAGTATAAAGGGCATGTCATAGTTTGGTAATCTTAACACGGGAGGGTTACTGATTAATTCCTTCAACTTTTGAAAATTAGCTTCACATTCGTCCGTCCATATAAACTTAGCATTTTTCTTTCGTAACTCATTCAACGGGGCACATAATATTGCATAATTTTCAATGAACCTCGAGTAAAAATTTATCATTCCAATAAACCTGCTTAGGTTTTTCACAGATGTCGGACTCTTATACTCCCTAATAGCGTTTGTCCTATCTGGGTCAACTTTCAATGTGTTGTGGGAAACCCGGTGTCCTAGGAAACTTATTTCCTCCGCAGCAAACAGCACCTTACTTGGATTAATAGTCAAATTAGCTTTTGATAACCTATTTACAACTTCCGTTAAATGTTCCATATGTTCCTCTGGATCTTTAGAGAAAACCACTATATCGTCAACAAACGATATTACAGACTTGAATTTTAAGTCTCCAAAGACTCTATCTAGATAACTTGACAATAACCCAGATCCAAGGTGTAGTCCATAGGGACAACGGCGGTATTGGTAAAGTGAGTAAGGAGTGGAGAACGCAGTTAGGTGCCTACTTTTAGGATCTAAGGGCACCTGATAATACGAATTGTTTAAATCTAGCACAGTGTAAATTGAAGCTCCGCTAAGATAGTTAAATGACCCTTGCAATTCTCCTATAGGGTGCACGATAGGCTCAATCTTTGAATTCAGTTCTTTATAATTTGTCACCAACCTATGACCTTTCCCCTCCCCTTTACTAACTAGGAAACTAGGTGATGAATAGTTTGACAAACTTGGTTCAATAATACCTTGCTTTAATAACGAATCTGTTATGTCTCGCATGATTTTCATGTTTGGCGGGGAAACAGGATAGGGTCTTATCTTTACAGGAGAAGTGTCCTTTAACTTTATTTCACATTCAAAATCTAAAGCCTTTCCTATTTCATTTGTAAAAACCTGTGGATTGCGTTCTACTAAACTTTCAATTCGGTCCTTGAGATTTAACCGCCCAATCTTTAACTCTAAACCACCACAACTGACAGCTTTCACCTTGTTACTTTCGTTTACATTCAAATTGAAAATATTGTCCATATCAAATGAAAAATAACCTTTATTTTCTCTTAGATTTAAAACTAGTCCAGTTTTCTCCATGAACCTAACTCCTAATATTACATCCCAGGTTATTTTCTCGGCAATAAAAAACTGCACGGGCCATGACTTATTTTGGATTTTTACTTTCACAATGCATTTACCTAATAAGTTTACGGATTCACTTGTAGCGGTGACACAGTTAACCTTATCGTTAGACCTGCTTATCACTAGCCTTTTAGATTCCAGCTTATCATAAACATTCTTACCTATAATGTTTATAGAGCTCCCCGAATCTAACAATGCACACTGTACCATATTGTTACTAAAATGTACATTTACTACTGGCAAGTTATGAATACCTCTTTTCGTTTTGAACCAACGCCTATTCTTAATCTTTCTCTCTAATTTCTTTACCTGATTTTTCTCATTTTTAACATGTTTCTTAACATCTAAATTACATAAACTGTTATTGAATGTTTTCTTAAATTTCTTTTTATTAAAGTCCCCTGTTTTATGGAAGGCACTCTTCCCTCTCACTAGTTTCCCTGATTGTTGGTCCCTGTAGGCCTACTCCCAACGTCATCCCTGTTTGACCCGCCACTTGTGTGACCTCCCCTAGTGTAACCTCCCCTAATGTCCCTACCTCGTTTCCAACAATCCCTTATGAAATGACCGGGTTTAGAACAGTAGTGACATAATCGTGGTTCCATCTGATTACTCCCGCCTTCTCTTCCATTAGTTGTATTTACATTATTTACATAACCACGACCAGAATTATTACCGCCAAACTGATTCCTTCTCCCTCTTATCTGTTCCCTTTCCCAGTCATTATACTCAACATTCTTAATTACCATACACATTTTTTCCAAATCTTGTAAACTTTTAGGAAATTCCTGGAAAACTAATTTATTTCTGTCCCTCGGATTTATTCCTACGATAATTACGTCAATCAGTTCACGTTCTGAGTAATCACATTTTAACAACTCCGCGTTGTTCCTTACCTCACACACATACATGGCAAGAGGTTCGTCTGGACCCTGGGGTCTATGTACCAGGTCACGTTTTAGCTTCTCATATAAACCCTGTGGAATGAAGTACCTTAGTAAGGCACTATGCACAGAGCTTACATTTGACCCACATTGGATGTGCGTATTTATTCTACCCAACAATGGTTCGCTTACATGACTAGCTACAACCTCTAACACCTGTGAATCATTAAGTTTACCACACTTTTTCAACTTATTTACTACATTGAGTAAAGCTAATAACTTATTGTGGTCCAAGCCATTAACATTAGAAGGGATTTCACGTATGATTTTTTCAAGTGGATTTGTTAGTTTTGTAAACAACTCAGAAGTAGAAGATGTATGCAACCTCTTATCAATACCCAAATTGCTTATCTCTACATTAGACCCAGAAACATTGTTTTCTGTTTGGTTCTTATCCAAATTACCCATCGCTTGCGCACTTTCTGGCTCAAAAACATCCTTACTATAATCTATACTATCCGACTCGATACCATTCTCCTCAACTTCATGTGTTTCACTTAACTTTCTCAAACTAGCTTCAACTACGGTCTGGTCTAACCTATCTAAACCTTTACGCAGTGCCTTTTCCCACTGATTGGACTCATTGACCCATTCTGAAACCTGGCTTCGCGATTGATCTGGCAAACGAATATTCCCGTTTTCGAGCAAATTACCCAAACGTCGCCTCAAATGACTGACTCGCTCTTTCAACCTATGAATACCGACCGCCTCCTTAATCTCTTCAACACTCGCGAGTAATTCCCGAAATTCTTCAACCTTCTCTCGACAATTGTCTAGTTCTATTGTTACCCTTAACACAGTTAAATTTTCCCATTTCGTCGGTACATTATCCTTCAAAGCCTTCCTAAGTTGTTTTCTCAAGATAGTTACAGTATTATTTACAGTAACAGGGAAACCCCGCCATTGCAACTCGTACAACAGCTCATCTTTGTGGAGCAGATCAACATTGAAACCCATGATTTATTTACTTGACTCAAAAACCTTTAAAATCTCTATTTCATCATGCTTCTCTCTCCACCTCCCACAAACACGAACTTGATTAGCAGAGTGGCGCATCTGACACACCTAAGTGTCTTAAATTTAAAATCAAGTATAACGTGCTGTGAAAGGAGGCAAGAAGGGCATGCTGAAATAAGAAGTCTTATTATTCCAGTAAAAATCCAATATAATGAAATAAACTCTTAAAACTAACAATTGTTCAGTATGATATTGACCTTAGAAAATTAACAAAATTAATATCTTCACTTAACCAAAATAAACATTACAATCATTACTAACCCCCCCCCCCTTTATTTTGCCCTCCCCTTTCTTTGATCGATCAAACCTTATATATAAAAATCCCCCTAAAACTTCTTGTCCTCTCCAAAGTCCATACTTTCCTACTTTACAACACGAATATAGGCCTAATCATTAAACTTGAAAATATTGATGTGTAACATGGTGAAGGGTACTCATCACTTCACGGATGCTGTCTTCAATCCTTGGTGGAGCTTCAGTGAGATGATCTGAGCCGGAGACAGTCTACTGGTGAGAAGACGTCCATGGTTTGCAAACTGATAGTCCCCAGATGGTTGTCAGGCCCCCAAGAAGGTGATACTGGTCCAGGCTCCTCCAGACAGCAGATAGGCGATGGTGTACTCTCCGACGATGTTTCTCTGGGACTTGAACCCTCCAAATCGAGGGAACAAGTTGACTGTCGGCCACAACTACGCAAAATGAGATTGAAACAACGTGGTTCTCCTCCAAATTATGAATCATCGCTACCCTCAGCCTAGTCTCGAACACTTGCCACCAGACTGCGCGTTTGCAGTTACCAATGCTGGCATCGACTTGAACTAAGAAAACCGGTTTCTTCTAGTTTTCCAGGATTTGTACTCACATTCAATTCTATTTCCTTATAACATATGAAAATAAAATATAATTTCTGTCACAATCGTGACAGCCTATAATAAGAAAAACTCTGTAGTCTGTATTTAAATTGGTATTCCAAAAGTTAATTAACAGTATTGAATGTACAGGCTGTACGTTTTTCTTTTTACATTGGATACTATATTTTTTCAGCATACAAAACAACTTATGGCGAAGACCCCGTTTGGACCCACTACCGAAGAAACCATAAAGGTTCAATTCCTCCAAAGAAAACCAGGAAGCGTTGCATAGTAAGTTAATTCAATTATTTTTTTTTGTTTCCAAGCTATTTATTAATACAACTTCAGTATCCAATAGTCAATGCTATTATATTAAAATGATTATTACCGTACTCAAAATGTAAACTGAAAATATATTCAAGATTTAATTTCAACAGGGTAGACATTTTTCCATCATTGATACTATATACTTTTATTGAAATTGCGACCATACGAAGGTAGGTATTATTTTAAGCCAGATGTGAATGGTGATGAGTGTAGGACGTAGGATGAGTGGCACAATCTTGTAACTGACTAACTTAAGGCCATCATGTTCCTTATATAGGACTGTTAATTAATAGCCCGTACAGCCAATACCAACCAAGGAACCTACAGTTTATAGTGGAATCCGAACCACATTTTAGCCTTATAACTTACAAATTGGTCTAATCATCAGGATAGTACTGCGGATAGTCGTAGTACTTACTAGTGCGGACGTAAATCCACACCAGGGAGTATCGCATCCACAGATCATGATATAAATAATTGATATAGGCTAAATAAATCATTGGGCCATTACCTGTTTGATTTTGCCCCAACTTCAGCAATCATGTTGTGAAAGGGGTGACAATTTTTGAGTTTACAAGGCTCCAAATTTAAAAAAAACTACGTAAAAGTTCTCATGAAGCGATTATTTTCTCCATTTATTTCAAAGAATGATTTGACCAGTTTTAACATCAACTATCACTTAATTGATTCTGATTTCAGAGACAAAACCAAATCACAACTGGGAACCCTTGCCCTATTTGCCGGGATGAATACTTAGTGTTGCACCCCAAAAACATCAACCTTCTCAAACAGTTCATATCCCCTCATACTGGAGAAACATTATCATACAGGTTTGTAGATAACTTACTAATTTCAATTTGTTTGATACTTGTACAGTACTACCTCATTAAGTCAGACCATTCGAGACCATGGCTAATACGACACAACAGGAATCAGTGTTAGCCTGACAAAGAGCAAAAAACATTCAAAAACAAATTCTCACGATAATTTACCTTATTATTGAGAGACACACTTTACCAATAGATATTTACGCATCACAACAAAATAAAAACAATGACAATTACTCACTACACAGGGCAAAGCGCTGCACTGATGTATACGATGCACAGTCAGTACAATTAAATGCGGTTAATGCTCTATTATCTGATGGTATAAAGCAATAGCACTACCCAACTGTGTATTTTGTATTAGGCCTAATTTATAATTATGTTTAATCTTGTCTCGGTTATCCGGAGATCCCAAGTAAAGGGGGCTGACTTAGTGAGATCGTACTGTAACAAAGTGTTTGTAATAAGAAGTTGTAACTAGTTATAAGGGGAAGAAGGTTTAGCATTGATTTAACAAGTTGTTTAACGTAGGTGGTTTTTTTTTTGTACCACAAGTGGTTTTGAGCATACAGGGAATGAGGGGAAATTATTCTGTCAAACTGTCTTAATGCTTCCTATCTCTCTTTTTCACTATTTTATACAAGAACTTGCCCATTCTTGGCTGCTGCATTTTCATTTAGTTTCAAGTTTTTTTTATATTGTCCCCTTAACCTTTTCTTTAGTGAAACACAATGAAAGATAGTGATCAAACTTGCTGACAAAAATCAATTACTAAAAAAAAATATTGTTTACTTAATCTATATTAGTTTTAACCAGTTTTGTAATAATACAGTAGTGTATTTTCAACCTTATTTCTGTAACCCTTTATGTCTTTGCAATCACTGAACTGGTATACGAACATACACTAAAACATAGTTTCTAGCTATCCTGTTTACCCCTGTGGTGGTTATTTTGTAGCTAGAAAGTGTTGTATTGTTGTTCAAACTTCTTTTCTTAACTACTTCTATTTTTATTTTTGGTTTTGTTTCAGAACCACTGGCCTGTGTCAGCATCGCCACAATGAATTGTTGGTAGCCATACTGCAAGCTAAAGACTTAGGCTTGATCACATTTGACCTACCATTTCATGAATATGACTACTCAGAATACGTCAGTAAGGAAACATTAAAAAGTCAGTAAAACAAAAAGGATCGTAGGAAACTTGTAAATATGGAAGAGTTTGATTTTGTTATTGTAGGCGGTGGTATTGCTGGTGTATCGTGCGCTGAATCGCTTGCGTTTCTTTGTTTAGATTCTAAGATTGCTTTGATAACAGCTAGCCCATTAATTAAAGCCGTTACGAACTTAGTTCCCCTCACCAAAATGTTGACTAGATTTGACATTGAAGAAAGAGAAGCCGATACACTATCTCAAAGTAACCCTTCTGTTACGGTTGTCAAAGATTTTGTCACCGGATTTGATTCTATCAAACACCTTGTGTTTCTAAAAAGTGGAGTGGAATTGAAGTACAAGAAACTGTGTTTGTGTAGTGGCGCTTCACCTAAACTTATTCCCGGTGAAAGTAAAAATATTGTCGGTATAAGGGACACAGAGTCAGTCAAGGACTTTCAGGACCGGGTACAAGATTCTTCCAGGATTGTGGTTGTTGGAAACGGTGGGATTGCAACTGAAATCATTTACGAACTAACTGGTGTTGAATTGATTTGGGTAATAAAAGATGAACATATATCAGCAAACTTTATTGATCCAGTCGCAGCTGAATTTTTTCAAGACAGACTTTTAAAGCAAGATGTAAGTGATACCCCACCAATTGTGAAACGAATGAAGTATACAGTAGAAGATGATAAAAGTCATTTAGAAAAATCAGGCGCTGCTCTAGGACCTGATTGGCATTCTAAATACAAGTTGCAGGGATCACTCAGAAGTGACACTAAAGTTGTTATAGAATACAAGTCTGAAGTGGATTCAGTTTTGAGCCCTGAAGAAGCCAAAAACCTTGTTGATAAGTCTGACCAAGAAAGATGGCAAACCTTTGTCAAACTAACAAATGGTCAAATCTATGGATGTGATTTCATTGTTTCTGCAACAGGAGTTGTTCCTTGTTGTAATTTTGATATGAAATGCAACCGAGTTTTTGACAAGGCTGAGGATGGTGGAATAAAGGTTGACTGGAAAATGGAAACCAATTTACCTGATATTTTCGCTGCTGGAGACGTCTGCCATGCTTCTTGGGACAGAGCTCCTCATTGGTTCCAAATGCGTTTATGGACTCAGGCAAGACAAATGGGGACGTACGCTGCCAAGGCAATGTCTGCTGCTCTCAAAGAGGAGCAATTCTATCAAGACTTTTGTTTCGAGATGTTTTCCCATGTAACAAAATTTTTCGGCTACAAAGTAGTTTTGCTGGGTTTGTTCAATGGTCAGACTTTGGCTAATAACTATGAGGTTTTACTCAGGATCACAAAAGGAGTTGAATATGTCAAATGTGTAATGAAGAATGGACGAATGCAGGGAGCTGTACTCATTGGCGAAACAGACTTGGAGGAGATGTGTGAAAACCTGATTTTGAATCAACTCGACTTGACTGACTTTGGTGAAGATCTTCTGAATCCTGATATTGATATTGAGGACTATTTTGATTGATACATTTCACGCTACTGTTCATAATAAATATTTTGTACCGCCATAATGTGATTTTTTTATCCTAAAACTCTTTTTCTAGTAACCTAACTCAAGAACTACAGAACATGCTTAACAATACATTCAACTTTTGAAATTAAATTTACTTATGCTTTCTTAAGATCTATTCTACCTCAGTAAAGCCCCTGAATAAGAGCTACAGACTAACAATTAGTTGACAGTGTAAATTTGTAAAACCAATGTATATGTTAAAAATAATTCTTTAGCAGTGCATTTACACCTAATTAAGAACATGTTTTATTATTATTTCCCTTTTTTAGGTTTACTTTCTAAGCTAAAGAAATGCATTCATAATTAAAAAAAACTTGTGTTAATTTTTGTGTGGTAGGATCATGGGCGTCCATCCAATTGTTCCATAAAGGCGACTGGGGGATAAGAATAACCACCAGGAAAAGGGGGTCCAGGCATCCTCTCCCTGAAAATGTCTAAATGTATTCACAAAATGTTTGATTTTCATTATTTTCAAATGATTAAAACAAAACTAAATGTGCCTGTGTATTGTAAATTTAGTGTTTATTGAATAATTTTTAAATGTACAAACATTTTGTTACATATGGTCTCTAAGGGGGACTCGGGCCCCCCTTGTTCATATTGATTTTTTTTTAAAGGAGAGTTGGTAAAAATGCTGTTACGCACACAGGTGGCCAGCCTGTAGTGTGAGACTCCAGACCACTCACTAAAAACCCCCTCTACTCTGTTTGTTGGACATTGGACACAGACCTGGGATTGTTTGTCACATTACTTCAGTTCAGGTCAACGTGTGACCTAGGCCCACAGAGCTCATGCCGTTTCTGGCATTCAATTCCTTCGATTGCCCATATTGATGGACGCACATGGGTAATAATATATTAATGTCAAGCTAAAGGTGTACTGCTCAGTTTTGGGTTCTTGTTGACTTTATTTAGGAAAACTTACTTAAAGAAAAAGAATTAAACATGTTCATGGTATGATTGTCATAAAACAAAAAACAAGCTCTAAATCTGAAACAGTTGCTCTTCCCACGGGGAATATTGACAAGAAGTATTTATTTAAGAACATTCTGCATCTCATTATTTTGAATTTTCATATAAGAGGTAAATTAACTGTCAATAAAAAATCTAGGATTTACTTTTTTTGTTAAGTCCTAATGTGGTCTTGGATGAATTTATTTAGGAACAGGAAAACAAACTAGCTTATATTGAATGTTTAAATGAAAAGCCATTATTTCAACAGGCAAAAGGCCACTTGTCCTTTCTTACACATTCTGTATACATTTATGACAACAGTATTTACACTTATAAATAAAAATATATTACAAACAAAATTACTTGTACACCAGTCAGGAATCACATAAAAACAGATGGGCTGTACCAGTGAAGCACTTATATTATGGAGTAAGCAAGATTCCACACATGGACACGTACTACTACATGTAACTGAGAAAACATAAGTTAAACTTGCAAGTGTTGGGTTGGCAATAATGACTATTGGATACTGAGCAAAAGACATCCCTCCCATTGGTGACAGCTGGTCCTGGTATACAAGCTGTCGCCAATTTTTTATAAAAACATCATAGTTTTGTGAGCCAGTCACAGAATGCGCTAGTTGCTGACATATTTGATGGGTTATAACAAATTGTTAGAGCTCATAATAAGTTGTTCCACAAGTTTGAAGTATTAAAAAGGTTTGTAGGCCTATATTTGACAAAAATTAGTCATTTAAATCAACTCAATCTGTCGGCTCATATCAAATACGACAATTTTGATTAAAAAACTGGTGACAACTTTAACATGTGGATGAAATGTCTAGTTGTATCAAATTTCAAAGGATGGAACACAGAGAAGTAAGGTACATAGGAAACACTCAATGGTTCACCTAAGTGGTGTCTACGACAATGTCCAACACCACTTCCTCGCCATCATGCAAAAAGCTCACAGTGTAGGAGGACCATGTGGCCTGTGTGATAGGAATTTCTGCAAAGTGCTTGTCATAGGTATATTTCCGGTACAACATACTAGAGCTGATAGCGCCCGGTTAATAAGCATCCTTTGTACTCACTTCTCCGTGATTAAAACTACAAGAGTATAGTTGGAGATAAACAAGAACATTTGTACTAATACAGTTTTATTGCACACTTGGTACATTGCCAAAATCTTGTTCTGACCAGACTCCGTGGCCGCTGAAGTGATGGGGACGTTCCATGTAGTACAAGACTAGCTGTAGTACCACAGAGGATGGAACCTTACCCTCCTCATCTCGCAAGTGTTCAACTTCTGGCTGGGAGTGTACCTGCTTCAGCCATCTTGCAACCTTCTCTCTACACAAATAGTACACCTCGGATAAATTAAACAGTAAAGCACAGTACATGCGGTATTGTTATAAGTATAATTGTGATGAATAAGGGTTTGAAACGTGTTTGGTACTTAGTGGGCAATCCGCTGAAGTCAAGCTAATATCAAATTAATCAGCCTTGACACCTTTAATATGCTATTATAGATAATATCTACTTACGTATCACGTATGCCAGTAGGTGTCAATTATTAAAACTTGAATTATGCTGTACATGTTTCAAGCCTAAATACGGCTCATCTTCAGCAGCATTTTTCTATGTACAATTTTTCACATCGAAAGATGATTGTCGACTATATACAGACCACATATACACACACACACAGAACGTTTTAGCATGCTATTTTTATTTACACGTGTTTTTGTAGCGTACGCTCGTTGAGATAATACCCGACCGGACGACATTAGTAGGCCTACAAATGTCGTCCGGTCGGGTATTATCTCAACGAGCGTACGCTACAAAAACACGTGTAAATAAAAATAGCATGCTAAAACGTTCTGTGTGTGTGTGTATATGTGGTCTGTATATAGTCGACAATCATCTTTCGATGTGAAAAATTGTACATAGAAAAATGCTGCTGAAGATGAGCCGTATTTAGGCTTGAAACATGTACAGCATAATTCAAGTATTAATAATTGACACCTACTGGCATACGTCATACGTAAGTAGATATTATCTATAATAGTCAAGCTAATTTCATGGTGACAGTAACAAGGTAATTTAAACCACTATATAGTCAAGCTAATTTCTTTTTTGAAACTTAAACTGTTATATTACCATGGACCTGCTGGTCTGTGCAGGGATCGAAAAAGAAAGATAGTTAAGTACCATTGAGGTATTAGTAATATGGACAAGCCAGTGGTGACCGTATGGAGGTTTTTTTAGCTCAAGTCTCTACCACTGAGATTTGTTTGGTGGATGGTCAAATACCTAATTATAGCCCTTTTGACTCTTCAAAATTCGCTATCCTTGCATTGACAGCACTCAAAGTGTCTACTGTATAGTTTAACCAACTTAGTAATATAAAAATCCATATTCTCATCTAAATTGCTAAAATAAAAATACACCAGCTGCAAAAGTGAGAAATAGAAAATACGGCCACGTATAAACTCACTCAGTTGTAAACAGTTGAAACTATATAAGCAGATGTGCCATGAACTTAATCAAACTCAGCTTTGATCACTTTGGGTTTTAAATCTTTCAAATGTGAATCTAAATATATAAAAGGCAAAGCCCTCACTGACACACTCACTCACTCATCACTAATTCTCCCACTTCCCATTTACCTAGGAGGCTGAAATTCGGTACACCGATTCTTTGGGCATTAAATAGGAAAACTAAGTAGTTTTTATTCTGATCGGGCTTTCTGGCTCCGCCCCAGTGGCTCTGGAGTTTCCCATGTTAACCTTATTATTTTTCATATTTAAAAGGAATTAATGAATCTTAACAGCTGTTTCAATTAAACAAGTTGATTCTGTTCTATGATGTTCAATAGCATTAAAGTTACAAGGATTACCAACAGGGTGCAGCACTATTATTTTTTTTATCCACGACAACACAGCTAATTTGCAACCAAAAGGTGAGTGAGCGTAGCGAACGAACTTCAACCTGGAGGCGAGTTAGCGTAGCAAGCGAGCTAACCTGAAGGCAAGTGAGCGCAGCGAACGAGCTCCAACGTAAAGGTGAGTGAGCGTAGCGAACGAACTTCAACCAGGACGTGATTGAGCCATGCGAATACTTGTGAAATTAAACGGGGCAAAGCCCGCGGGTACAGCTAGTGTTTTATAACCGCTTGGAACTCACTTTTTTTCTATTTTTCAAAATGCACAGATGTTTGTTCATAAAATGAACAATACAAATAAAATCAGCTGATGAATTTGACAGAAACTTTGTCAGATGTTGACTAAATAGTGAAGTTTGCTGTAAACAAACCATTTGCAATACTAAGAGCGAAGTGGCGATGTTTATATAATTTTCTAAGGACTTATTGAATCATCCTCATATAATATAATTAAGATTAAAAAGGCCTATAACTGAAAGTTACCTTCCACAATGGTTAAAAGTATTTAAGGTACTACCTCAACCTCACAATTTAACACTTTATTCGGGTTGACATTTTCATTATAAAGGTGCTTTTGTCCTTTCCGTGAAACACTGAGAAATAAGGACATTAATGCGTTACCAACAGACATACACACAAAAATACAGAACTTAATTAGGGAATTTGCTACGCTTTAAGCATAACAAAGTACTTATAAAATTTGTATCTGAAATCTTTGTTAATGTCATCAAATTTCATCATAACAATTTATATTTGCTTGAACCGATGATGACCCGAAATGACGGCTTACTATATGAAATGAAGTACTAGATAGACGATTTAGATTGGTAATTTATAATAAAAATTACCAAAATAGGCCACGAACTATTGATACATAAACAATGTAAAGCGTTTAAACAATTCATGATGGTTTGCTGAATAAATGTTTTACTAAAATGCGTTATAACGTTGGGTTTTTGGACGTTTGTAATTTTAAGCAGGTAGGCCGTGTATTCTAGGGAAAAGTACTGGTATCAAGGATCATTGTCGAAAAGGTTGTTATGAATAATTGGGTAGGCGTACGTACCCAAGAGATGGGCTACGGGCCTATTGGCTGTATGGTCCAGCGATTGCATCACACGGTGAGTAGGTACTATTCACTATATATATATAGTCAATGGTAGGAACAGAAAATAACACATTAGAAAAGCGAGTTTAGCATCATCCGTAAACCTCTGTTACAATCACCCACTGCAGTTGTGATTTTTTACTTTACACTTTACACAACCGCCATTGAAGTGCCGTCAATGAGTGGAAACCATGTTTCTAAGCTATTGGCGACAATCATTATTAAATTTAAGTTTCCCAGCCGTATACAACACTGATTCAAGGTCTTCTTTCTGGTTATCAAAACTCAAGAACAATTTATACACAAAGAATCTCTGGTTCCTGAACTGGATGATGCCTAGTTATTTAATTTCATTTACGGTTACACTATTACACTATATTATTGCATTTTCGATTAATCAAATCTGTTATGTAAGAAAAACATTTTTAATCTCACTTTGTTGGGATTTGCATTCAAAACGTGATTGAAAAAGGTTGCGGTATTTGTAAACATATCAGTGACAGCTAGGAAAAATAATCTTGATCCGAACAGCTGTTCGTTATTTCATAGATGATTATGCAATAAAAATTGGACGAAAACTTGACATAAATCGCACAAAACTACATTTTTGAACGTTCGTTATATTATTTACAAAGTAGTGAGGCCATATTTTAATGGCTAAAGACAATCTCGCCAATCCAGTGAATACATTAAAATTACTTGGATCTTGATAGGTACTCTCGTTTTCCAGGAGAAGATAGCGTAAAATGCCACCTTGAGTGTTACAGACAGAGGGAAAGACAGACAGACAGACAGAAATTGAGATAAGACTCGTTTCTGCTTATTTAATGTAAAAGACGTAAAAATAAACTAAAAATATATAATTCTGAGCAATGTACAGACAAAACTCTAATTTTATTTATATAGATTAGTCCCTGGAAACTAATTTTATCAGGTACGTAAACAAAATTCAAACCCCAAAAAATTGTATTATGTGATTTTATTTCTTTATTTCACTTACTTTGGATATAGCACAATTGGTAAAGCTTTGAAGATGTCTGCTTTGCTAACACCACCATTGGCCAACAGATACTGAAGAGTGTCAGCGATTAGTGTGAGTGGAAGTAAGAAGAAGAAGGGATGCAGCATGATTTGATTCTTTATCTCTTTTATTTCATATCCCAAATGCATCTTGAGATAATACAACATGTCTGAACCTTTACTACTATCATCTTGGCCCAAATTGATGCGTCTGAAACAATAACAGATAATGACAGTGACAGTTCATACGCATCCATCACATTTGGATGGACTGCATGCTAGTAAGGCGGTCGACACACGGGAAGACTGAAACCCAACTAAAGTTGAACCAACTTTTTTGTGACGCGATTACGATTGCAGTTGCGTTGGTTAAATCCGCACACGGGCGCGACTGTAGTTGAGTTGAGACAGTAAATGAGTTCTAATTTTGTTATAACGATACTGTGTACTGTGTATGGTGTTTGAAATGAGTGGTAGTGATTAAGAAGCCCTGGTGTTTTATAGACAATCAAGAATGTAGAAGGTATTGGGTACATACAAATATTAAATTTAGGCTCTTTGTAGCTGTCACTGCATTAAAAGAAACAGACGCAAAATTTCAGTCTATGAACAGGATGTCAAAAAGTACTTACGAAGAGTTATCGCAGTTGGTATGCCCGATCCTTGAAAAGCGCAATACAAATATGCGAAAAGTTGTTCAAACCAGGCGACTGAAATCACCTAGCAACCGGCAGGTCCGGTTGCTTAACAACTGATCGCCGACTGGTCCTCAACTGGTCGCATCGCAGTTGCACCGTGTGCACTGTCCCACCTAACTAACACCTCGGGACGCTGGTGACTAATTTGTCCAACTAGTTGCCGATTTCCGTTGGAAAACAGTCTTCCCGTGTATCGACGGCCTAATGTGTCACAACCAAATCTTATGACAACACAAAAAAGTTGGTAAAGTTTCAAGATTCTTAACTGTAACAGAATGACTATCAAAGTATATAAATATTAATACTACCAAATACAAATAAATATTAACCACGAAATGTTTGAATTGATTGTTGATTGGATTGATGTTTGATGTTATTATTTCAGGGTTGTGAGTTCACCAAGAACAGCAACTATTGAGAAACCTCAAGATCTGTGTTGAAATTTACTATAATATCTTAAAAGAACAGAACTTGGAAACACAAATAATAGAACTGAACAATAACACAAAGTTAATAATGCCCATATATATGTTTCATCTTTAACTTTAACATGACATTACAGACTATTTGAAAGTGCTTCAACTCAACTTCACCCACTCAACTTCATTGGACTTCGTCAGGAGTCCAATTTCTTTCAGTTTAGATTACATGGTACTGTAGTAAACATTTAATTATTATTGTATTATATTATTTGTAACTTTAAGCAGGCGAGTAAGATTTGAGTTTTGAGATTCCATTTTTAGTTTTGGAATGTAAAATATAAAATAAAACAATTATATTGTTGTAAGACTTAAGCTGGGTTTTCCTAGGCGCGGAAGCGGAGAGAGGAACGTGGAGAGCGGAAAAGATATTAACATGGTGTTCCTCTTTGCTTCTAGGAAAACAGTAACATTAAATTACCTAAGACAAGTGGAGTCCGTTCTCCGTGTTCCTCTCTCCGCTCTCCACTTCCGCAACTAGGAAAACCCGGCTTTTCATGGAATTATATGACCAGTCAACTACATCTATATGAAGTTTTGAAGTTTGCTAACCATGTTGTACAGTAGAACCCCGGTTAACCAAATTCAGGTTAACCGAAACGGTTCCATAAAATAATACAGGGCTAAAATATAAGTAATACGTAATGTAAAATGCTTTAGTAACTTCAGTTGTTGTTTAGTTTCAAGTATTTTCTAACCCCCATTGTAACATTTCTGTAGGTAGCTGAAATAAAATACTGTATTATATAGACGTGGTTTTAAATTAATTTTTCCAACTTGCCGTGGTAATACATAGGTTATATTTAGCATATGATGGGCAGGGACGTAACTAGGGGGGGGGGCACGCGGGGCATGAGCCCCGGGTGCCAGTTGTTGGGGGTGCCAAAACAGGCACAGATTTTTTCAAACAAAAATTGTTGAAAATATTTTTAATCCGTCTTGCAAAAGAAAATCAATATATTTTTTATTTTTATATAAATCTAAAAAAGTACAAAGTGAAATGATGAATGCTATCTGACTGTTATTATACTGTTTACGAATCATGTTAACGGTCCGTATGAACTTGTACGGAGCGAGTATGAGGATGAGCATACTGCGTTGTCTGTCGTCGAAGAGTCACTAGGACGGCGCCGGTGCGGCGACAGAACACTTCCACCCCTCTCCCGGCAACCAACTACCCCTCCGCTCACACCGGTCAATACACACACACACACAAACACAACACTAAAACATCGACGCTCGCTTGCTGGTCTGACCCATCGATACAACACGTCTGACCTTGACTAACTGTGTATATTGTGCACTAGTGTAGTTGACAACAGTTCATACTCAATGTCAGTTGACAATCAATGTCAACTAAGCTCTCTTGTAAAATGGCATTTGCCGTGCATGTAATAAATAAATAAAAATACTTCATTCTACTCGTAATCAGTGGTTCAGGACACGAAATGTGGACAATGTGGTTGCGGTGCTGTTTCTTTGCGTGTTACTAGCAATATTATTTTCGTGAATGATTTCGTTTTCAATTAAACTATTTGCCTTTAAAAATATGTACCGTACTGTATTCAATTATTTACCACATATAACTAGGCCTTAGTACTTTTAACTTGAGGTTAAGCATTTTAAGATCTAAATAGTATTATAATGTATTGTACCGATGGACACACCCCACATTTTTTAAGAAGATTTGTTAAGGAATTAGTGTCAGTCCAATTGAGGGGGGGGCGCCAAAATAGGTGTTTGCCCCGGGTGCTGAATAGCCTAGTTACGTCCCTGATGATGGGTTAACCAAAAAATTTGCTATCCGAAACGGCTCTTCCCCTTTTATTTCGGTTAACCGGGGTTCTACTGTACTTCCGTAACTACTCAAAAATTAAGTTATGAATTATGAAGCTGGTCTTTTATAAATTCATAAAAATTTACAATACATGCATAAATGTATGGAAACACCTACTTTTGAAATTGGTCCTCTACGTTAGTGAGCAAAGATAGGGACAAACACCTCCACTTCATGGATGTCAGCAACTGGTAGCGGGACATGGAGATATGATAACGGGCTATCAAGAAGGCAATCCGAGGGCTGCAGAAGAACGGGTTGATAACAGGATCTGCGTAGAGTGCAGCTGCCCTCTCTTGTACTGTGTCAGGTGACAGGGTCAGTATGTTGGAGTAGTAGATGAACCCTTGGTCTGGCACATTGTAGTTCTACACAGAAACATGAAATGGAGCCTGTTAAAGTTGATTTGAAGAAATGTTAGGGTTGTCTATAAACTAATGTCTCCACTAAGCTTCCGTTGCTGTGACGCAAGGAGGTTTGATTGTATACAGCTGGTTTAGAGGGCTGGTTTAAATACGTTTCAAGAAACAGACAAACTGATTCTATAACCATTATTGTATAATAGTTATTGGTACCTGGGCAAAGCCGGGTATTGCGGCTGGTATTTATTAAAAGAGACCCAATGACGGTTGTAAGACAGTAAAAATTAATGTTGTTGGAACTAAGCATGGTATGGGCTTGTTAATAATTGCTGATTTTTTTGTCTAAGGCACAAGCCCAGAATCGTTTTTCACAATACTTCAGGCTAGACCTAGGGATTGCAGCATTAGAGCTTAAATAAAATCCATTTGTGATTTGGCGGGATTTGAACCCGGGACCGAAGTCCTGCGCTGTAACCACTAGACCAGCATCGCTCCCCAAATATAGAAAAAGGTTGTAACATTCATAACAACATATTTAGGCTGGAAAAAGATAAGGTTAAATATAAAAACGTGGTAGACAGACACCAAGATTACGAATGACAGTTTTACGAGGGTTGTAACAAAAGCACTGAAAGGAGCCTTAGTCAAGCCTTATAAACATTGTATGTATCCTTAACATAACTTACTTTATGGAATCTCCATAAATTTAATATTCGTTCATGGAAAAATATCAATAACATTTTAAATTATATCGATATTTTTCAATAGCTACCTTAAAATCCTTCAAATAACCGTCTAACAATAGTTAGACATCGCATGGTTGCTGAATACATATATTTATAGGCCTATACATATATATGTCATGGGGGGTTTGTATGTAGTAGTATAAAATATATTATTCTTAAGTAACTTACCCTCATGATTTTTACTATTTTCATCATTTTCTTCACCGGTCGCATCAAAATCTTTGGATTGGTACAAGCAATACTCTCAATTGAGGCATCTCCCAACTTTGGTAAACACTTTTGTATTTCCAAAAAGTTTTCAGGATGACATGCCAATACAAAAATATTCTGTCTGACCTGTAAAACGGTTTGTAAAATTTTCATGAGTTTTACCTCAATACTCAAATGTTCAAGTTAAAAAAAGTGGAAGATTGTTTGGGCGTGAGGGAACTGTGGGGATGAACTTAGTAGTTCCCTATGATACCACTGTCGCTTTTAGCACTGTGATTTAGTGATGTGTCAAAACCGAATCTCAAATCTCAAAACCATCAAAACTTTGGAAAAGTTTCGGTTTTGAGATTCGATACCTGAGTTTCAAGATTCAAAAGTTTCGAAATTGAAGACTTTGGCAGGTATATTTTTGAAACCTTGCTGACATTTGTTAATGTCATTATTATTGTTTTTAACACTGTTTCCACACACAAGCTCGTAGCAATAGAGCAAACATATAACCATTAACAGTAATAAAAAAAGTAAATTGTATTCTGAACTTCAAAAGGCATCTTAAATATTATAGCTGAATGACGTACGATTCAGTTTCATATCAATATTTACTAAACACAAAGAAATTATGACCACTAAATGTTCAAACTAATCCAATATTCATGTTTATGTTGGTGTTAGGAATTTAATTTATTTTATTGTTGGTTGTTCATAAAAAATTATGGTTTTTTAAAAGATTATCAGTCACATATTTTATTCATGTTATGTCAGGGTCAGGAGTCGATCTCTTTCAGTTTTGATAGCATACTTTACATTTTATTTATTACCTGTATTTTTGTGTTACCGGTACCTTTGCCTTTGTAACCAGCTAAGTAAAAAGGTTTTGGTTTCGGTTTTGAGATTCTAAATTTTTGGTTTTGACCATCACTACTGTGATTAGTACGGCGTGGTGTTGGCTGGACTATTTGACCGAAGAGGATGATTTCCAAAAATAAAGGTACTTAGGTACAAATACACCGGTCAAAGGAAACAAGATATTAGTGGAAAAATTGCAAAAACTTAAATTGTTGTTACCATAAAAAATTACATATATTTAATGAACTAAAATTTAATGCCTAGTCAAATGATAACTAAATTTCTAAAAATTAATTTTATGATCTAACACTCTTAGTTAGGCAACAACAAAGCATAAAACAAAGGCCTAAAAAATTTAACAATAGATATGATAAACCTAACTTGCTGTATACAAAAGAGTATGACATGAATAGGTAAGTAACTAGGAGTACGCTCCGAAGCCGCGTATGAGAATGAAAGAAGACCATTTCATACATACAAATATCTTATTTAAAATTAGGCCTAACCACATTCATATCAGTTGATCAGCTGCTCAAGAAGTTTTAACTTAATTAAGGCACTTCAAATCCATAATATTTCTTACCTTATGCACAGGTAACTTGAAGCAATGGATCAGTGTGTCGTAGCTTCTCATTACCAACCTGATGCTCTTCTGATACATGTTTTCATGAGACACGTATTTATTTTTCACTTCTTCAACACTAAGCCCCAGCTTCCATGACAAATAAATTTGAAGAGCTTTCGTCTGTAAAAGTACGTTTAGTCAATGAATACAAAACTTACAAAACAGATGATGAATACAAAATCAGAACAAGCCTTTGTAAAAAATTCTGTCTGGGAATATTAGAATTTCGGAGATATTTCCCACAGTGGCCGCTAGGTAGACTATAGGGAGCGCGCGGCCAAGTCAGCTGACTGAGTGAGACAAATAATCAGTGTTATTCTTAGGTTGTCGGTTACTCATCACTAAAATAAATTAATCACAATTTACTAAAAAATGTCGAGGTATATTTAAAGTTTACATCAAAACTCATCTTCAGCCTCTAGTAACAACATATCAAGTAAATAAACTATGATTTATAATGTTTGTTTATAAATTAATTAATTAACATATGTTTGAATTATTTTAAAATTAAGTTAGTAGGAAAAACATTTTTATATGTATATATTATGTAGATGTCACAGTTAATTTATTATTGTTTTTCCAATTTTAATTTTGTTCTCAACCTCTTCTCAAATTAAAGGTATAAACATTTTTTTCCTACTAACTTAATTTTAAAATAATTCAAACATCTATATATTAATTTGAAACTGTTTTTCTTTGTCACAGCTATTTTGAGAGAATGGCTGGGCGTAGAAACTCGGTAGAGGTGTCTAAAGAAAGGTCTTGGTCTGTAGATGAGCCATCAAAAGAGAAACATGGTGAATTCCCTTGGGGCTCTGCCCCCGTGGCCTTTAAATTCCCACCCTATGTTATTCTTATGGAGGAAAACGGGGGTTTTGTCACAGCTAATTTGAGAGAACGGCTGGGCGTAGAAACTTGGTAGGGGTCTCTAAAGAAAGGTCTTGGTCTGTAGATGAGCCATCAAAAGAGGAAAGAGGTAAATTCCCTTGGGGCTCTGCCCCAGAAGCCTTTAAAAGTTGCCTCTTCAGATTTGTTTACATTACGACCATATGCATAATTCTACACTACTTTTTAATGAAACAGCTGTTAATATTTAAATTGTGATTTATTGAATTTGTCAAAATGAAGTACAGTATTTGCAATGGATTTTTCTGATTTTAAAATTGATTTTCTTCTGCATCGTGTCATGTTTTGCAATATAATGTTCTATTACCAAATCAGTGGAAAATCCTAATATCACAGTAACTTTTAAAATTATTTCTTATGGAGTGAACTTATATCCATTGTATGGGTTGGTTTCTGCCTTTTTTTACCACTTCTTGGAGATTGTACGTAGGTGATATTCTTTGGCATATTGCATCTGTAGACGAAACTTGGGTTGGTGTAATTATTACAATGGAAAAGAGCGAGAAATCCTAGACAATTTGAGATAGGCTAAGAATAAAACTGTATTAACACTGTGCTACATTTCTGGAGCAATCATTTAAATAACCGATTTGCAAACAAAGTAAACATAGAAAAAGTCATAGAACACAACCAAGTAGAAGAAACAGAAAAAAAGTTTTTTTCTTACACTAAAAACACTAAAAAAACAAGATCAGCTTTTTTGAAAAAGATGAGATATTTACAAAAGATTTTGATTATATCTAACTGTTATGTAGATTGAGAGTATTTCTATAATCTTTGAGTCGCATGTAATGCTTCGCAATTGCTCGAATTCGAGCAACAGGTACACTAGTATGTTAATTAATTTATAAACAAACATTATAAATCATAGTTTATTTACTTGATTAAGGAACGCGGCAGCGTTCCGCCCCGCCAAGTCCCCCAGCGGTACACAGCTGCTGCAGTGTATATATACATGACGTGACAAAGTGGCTTTTTTACTCGTCTATAGCTCTGAAGAAACAAAAGCTATTAAAATAATTGTTCATCCACTGGATAGGGGCAATCATTCTTGGCAAAATAAAAAAAAGAATTTAAAAAAAAGGTTGTGTTTGAGCCAAGAAAAACTAGTTTGAAAATTCACAAATCTTCCGTGTTCTCCTTCTTCTCCTTAAATGTTGACGGACCTACAGCCCAAACCACTGGCTCAATTTTAATGTTTTTTATGTTGTTTGAAAGCCCTTAGCGTGTAGATGTGCCTTTTGAGGGTCACAAGTCGGTGCGTTGACCCATAAACCCTTGGCAAGCCCTCAAAGTACGATTTTGGCCCATTTAAATAACATGGGATTAAAATCAAAACAAAAGAAGGATCAGCTGCGATTAAATCTCAATTAATTTAAAATGTTAGAGAAATTCATAGGATCAGCTGAAAAAATATTTTAAAACTTTTATAAAGTATTTTTTTCAGGTATACCGAATGATTTGAGCTACTTACTATATAAAATTACTTAGAGCAGTGATATTCCCCGATACTTTCCATTGAAAAATGCAGTGTACCGATGGTACACTGGTACAGCAGCTCGTCATTTTTAACAGTTTAATACTACTTATCAAAACATATGAAACCTAGGAACTTGAAACTTAGTACTAGTACTAAGGTTAGTTTTAACATTGTTTCTTCATAATATTGCCAAAATTTATTTAACTAAATAAGGTTAGTTTTATGTTTTGATACACTAAAACAAATAAAACAATCGGGAAAATCCGTCTACGTATGTTAAACAAGCAAAAAAGTGAATGTAAAAAGTGATATGTAAATTTAGGATAAAAATGAGTTTTTCAATATTTGTTTTGCCTTATGCTATCTCTAACAAACCTAATCTGTTTGATTACATTTTTACTTCTCTAATAAGGGCTCAATTTACACTAGTCTTTAGATATACGGGTTTAATTATCGGAACACTTATGTAACACCAATGCATTTTATGTGTAGTTGTGCCCTGGTCTATATATAAGAGAAAAGAGGATTTTTATTTTAACTGTTAATTTTCTACAAAAATAAATACAATCTAACAAAAAACCACTAAGTGGTAACACTTCCCCCGCCAAGTCAGCAACCCAAAAAAGACAATAAATCGCCACTTTTCCGCCAAGTAAAACAATGTAATGTATGTAAGTTTGGCCACTTGGCGGCAGACTTTTGCTTGATCACTTTAAAAAATACCATAAAATTAGTTTCATTGAGCAAGTATCTCTCCCAATAGTACATTGCTAGATGAGAGCTTATTTTACAAAATTTGACCTTATTTGTGTCACATTTCATAAAATCATAATAGTGATGGTTTTATATTTACTGATTACCTCGAAATTATTATACTTAGTTGGACTAATTAATTAGAGAAGTTGATTTGTGAAATTATCCACCAACGTAACTTTAATGAAAAAAAACAAGCAAAAGTCTGCCGCCAAGTTGCCAAACTTACATATATTACATTGTTTTACTTGGCGGAAAAGTGGCGATTTATTGTCTTTTTTGGGTTGCTGACTTGGCGGGGGAAGTGTTACCACTTAGTGGTTTTTTGTTAGATATGTTGTTACTAGAGGCTGAAGATGAGTTTTGATGTAAACTTGAAATATACCTCGACATTTTTTAGTAAATTGTGATTAATTTATTCTAGTGATGAGTAACCGACAACCTAAGAATAACATTAATAATGCCATCACGAAGGAAAAAACATACCGGAATGAACAAATAATCAGCTTAGAAGCAAAATGCTTATGGAGAATAGTCAGACAGGAATCTTGCCGCCAAAGTGAGCTTAGCGTGGCCGCTGCTAGGATCGCTTGCGTGGCTGCCACGCAAGCGATCCTAGCAGCGGCCACGCTAAGCTCACTTTGGCGGCAAGATTCCTGTCTGACTATTCTCCATAAGCATTTTGCTTCTTAAAGGGCTTTGTATTCATTGGTTTAGTTGATTAATTGAAATTTAATCATAGTTTTTCATTATAAACATGTGCAAATCCTTTTTTTTACGTAAGCTGTTTGCTAAATCAAGTTGTGTTGTGTGACAAACCCTTTGGGACTGGCAAAAAATAAAAATTTGCAGGGATGAATGAAAACGAACAGTTATTACCGTTAGTTTACCAAAAACACGGGATATGTTGTGAAGTAATTTAATTTACTGTCCGTCTGTTTGCAGCATATTGTTAAAATCCAGACAATTTATATAACCACCCCTTTCCAAAATAGCTAAAAGCTTATTGAGCACAACACTTAACATAAGAATTCTTATTTCAAAAGCAGAAACGGGATATTATTGTTTAATGTTTTTAGGGTTTTTTAAACGGTAGGCCTACTTCCGCAACCTAAAACCTTACAACGTTACCTGTACATATCCAAACAATTCTCTATCATTTGTCTTTGGTGGGTACAGTTCCCTAGGAAGATCAGAAAACCCCAAAATATTATGAGCTATGTCAGTCTCTTGACTAATTAGACAGGATTGTTTCAGGGTTTGAACTGAAGTAGAGTTTAACCGTGGAAACCTGAAACAAAGAGGATTGATTAGAGTAGGAAAAACAGTGTGTATCAATTCAATTTCAAATCATATTCAATTTTAGTAAAAGAGGAGATTTTAATCTCTTGGACTTATATTATGTCTTAATAGCTCGAGAAGCAATGTTAGTGTTTTTGAAATAGTTTACTTTTTGCCATAATCTACCTCTTCTCTTCCAAATTTTTTTTTAAATCATGAAGGACTAAGATATTGTTTTTGTTTAGGTGAGCTGAGCTGTAATCATGACCATGTCATCAGTGTTGTAGCTTTGTTAATATTAAAAACGTTTATGAGATAGTAAAGTATTCTTCCTTTCCGTCCTGCTCCAGGTACATTAAGTATCTTAGGCCAGTCTGACTGTTATTAGGGTTCCACATATGAATATAAAACTATCGTATAAATTTCAATACTACTGCTCTTATTTTGAGGACAACAATTATTACATTTTTAAAGGACACACTTTGAACATTTGTTTTAAAAACTGAGCAAAACATAATTTGTTATTATTTTGTGCATACAGTTTAAGATTTTAAAACTCCACTTACTTCCTTATTTTTTCCAAGGTTATAAGTTTCTTTGTCATACCACTCTCTTCAAGAATATTGTATCGGTGATCAATCAAGAAGGGATGTAACCACATAATTTTGGGCTGCTTTCGAATATCTTCATGTGTGAATCCTAACTCCTAGAAACGGAAAAAGAACTGAATTATAGTCGTAATCAAAACATAAATAATATCGTTTCTTGAAATTTAATAATACAAACAAAGAACAAAGGGTACGGTTATACTAGGATGCTAGCATTCCACTTCGAGCCGAAAATGACGTGATTTGTGTTGGGATGCTAGCCTCTCGGACTGTTACATATTTCTTAATACGTTTTAACTCTTCCTCTTTCTTTTCTTCTTCAATTATTGTTCTTTTTGTTTGGATTTAGGTCTACCAAAACACATTAGGTAGCCTACTTAAAATAAATACCAGAACTATAGGCCTACAGATATCAGCTTAAGAAAGTAAAATCGTTCCCGACTTCACAATAATTTCTTCTAAAGTACTGTAATGATGTGAAGGGGTGGGGAGTAATTCTAATGCTTGCTACACTTTGCATCGACCCATCACTTTTTGGATTCTTTACTGAGTTTACTGACCTGAAATACCAGAAGAAAATACATTGGTATTTGTCAAAATTAAAATGGTTTTAGTTATAAGAAACATAACGATTGCTTTGATTCCCACAGTCCAATCTTTTCAACTTAGGTTTATAAGCTATAGAGAGAAAGACAAAAAACAGTAAAACAGTGAAATCACAGAAACTTGTCAACAATCTTTTGATAAAATTAAAATTGTTTATGAAAACAAGTTTTCTATATTTGGATTTTTTCCAACTACAAAATAACTTAACTAAGTTTTACTGCTACTAGAACTACTCACATGTAGCTTGTTCACAACTTTTTCAAGATTTAACTCACGAATGGTTCTCTTCTTGGGTAGAACTCTCTTAAAATCACCTTTTTTGTACCCTAAAAATACCAAAAAAAGTAGAAAGTTTGCGGAATATTTTATCCAGTTTTCAAGTGTTTTCAAAGTTTCTCAGACACAACAAAATGAGTTGAAATGCAATTTTAAATAATGCTTGCTAGATTGTAGATGTGCATACCAGGAATTGTTTTCAAACGATTCTGTCTGGATTTCTGGCCATGGTTCTTAGAAGTTACATGTTTCAGACAAATACTTGCAGGCTATTATCATCGCATAACACAAACCAGGATTTAAGCTGCAGCCACATATTGCAACACAACTCAAAATTGTTATAATTTTGCAAGCAACAAAGCAACAATATACAAAGAAAATATTATAATTATTCATACAGTATATAAACAAGTTTAAAGCCAACTACAACTCTAGGTGAGTATTTAATATTTTATTTACACATTGGCAAATAAAGAGATTTTAGGTTTAAATGAATAGGCTACTATTCATATTGCTATATCATATTGCCTATATTGATATGTTTTACTATTGGGTAGCTAAGTGGTTATACGATTCTGAGAAAAGTCAGTAGCTTTATGATAGTTCGAAACTGGACCCAGCTGTTCCTGATCATTGGGCTTGAAAAATAAATGATCGTAGCTAAAGAAAAAGCTGATATTATTCAGTAACAAAGCTACACAGATCATCACACTTATCTACACTCCATCCTTTACTCATATTTGCGTTACAGTAGAATATGCACCTTAAAATATGCACCTAAGTGGTGTCTCCATCTCAATCGGTAATAATAATATTTGGCTGCTCTAGTCTAAACTATTAATTTGCCTCGAACAAAGTTCAGCTTCAAGGATGTAATCCAGTAAAAATCTAAACTGACAGAAAAAAATTTGCTTAATCTGCAGGTTTATTTTACTGTGGCAGATTTTTTTTAGTTAGGTACAAATGTTTTGAAATTAGAATTTTCAAATAATAGGCAAGTTTGTATAATGCACCATAAATACCTACCCATTTTTTTAAGAATTTCTCCATTTATTTTTGAATGTGCTATGTTGTGGGCTGTGGCGAAGTATATTTGATGAACTTGGGGAATAAAGAATGCTTTGCACCTTCGGCAAACTTGCAGAAAGAGCATGTTCTGAAACAAATCATAAACATATAAACTGAGTTGAGCAAATAATTACTTGCAACACCTTTTAAGCTACAATACCTACAAATTTGTAAATTAGGCACTGTTCTGGTGCAAGGTTTCCACTCTAAGCCGCATTTAGAGGTGTGTATTTTTAAAGAATAAATAACGAGATTACAACTTGTGTTTAAAATTGCAATAAGGTAATTCAAAGACCTTTATTTCTTTTTTCAATAATTTTCATGTTTTCATTATGTTTCATTTTCCTTAAATTAATAGATCTTTTAATTTAAAAGTTGTATTCACAAACTTTGAGTAACTTATGTAGGGGAATAACAAACATTGAATTGAGCTTACGTGCTCTGCATTGGAGGAATCAAAACGTCATATTATTTGTTTCTCTTTCTGCTTTGTTCCAGGACTGACTAAGTACTAAGTACTGTACCCCTAACTTACAAAAAATCTGCATCCCAGTCGGGTCCTGCTGTGTCGAGTTGTAGGCCTAAGGTTATAAGTTAACTTAAGTTAAGGGGTATAAATTTATTAGGCCTAACCTAATTACTTAATTAACAGCAATTTATTTCCAATCTGGGTAGCCAAGTGGTTATAGTGCTCGCCTTCAAAGCTGAAGGTTGATGGTCAGATTCCAAGCAAGATAGTTTCCAGACCCAGATGCTATTTTTCATTGGCTATAAATTAATTATGATATCCAATAACAAGGTCAAAGTGAGATTGTAACAAGACCAGAGGTTGGCCCGTTCCCTTTAATAAAAAAAATCCATTGGCATGCAAAACACATAGGATAAAAACATCTCATAGCCTAATCAAATTCTTACTTAAAGGCTAATCTTAAAGTTTTAGCCGGGTAGACTTCTGTATCTGTTGTCAAAAACAACTGAAAGAAAATACCAATTATTCTATATATAGGATGAAACAATCAATATATTGAATAATCGATATAGTGATCGATATTTTCATTCGGTTGTTTTTGACGACAGATACAGAAGTCTAGGCCTACCCTTTTAGCCTACAAAATAAACCAGTTGTACAAGCATGTAATTTTTTATTTAGGCTATATAACAGTAAGGCAACCATAAGCCTAGGCCTACCTTGTAATATAGATCAATTCTAACCTGATAGGACTATTAACCATTCCGTCTCTGGTTTTCGGACCTATAAATATTTTACCAGCCTCTTGACCCACCAAATCACCATACTTATTAAAAAAAATATTTTATTGAAAAGATTGTACTAAATTGTATGGTTCTAATTTAATTTAACTAATAAGAATTTACTTAGAACTACTAGCGGTAATAGGCTTGGCCTATCCTAACAAACAGCAGACGACAACAAACTATTATTTATTTGTTAGTTTTATCAAAAAGGTCAGTTTAATATTTTAACCATACAGCGTCTAAGCTTACTCCTTTAAAGTTGAGTAGCTTTTCATAATCATAGCCTCATTAAATGGCTTAAAGGGTTATCAATTAATGGTAATTTAATATTTTATTTTGGTAGGTAATATGAGTATTAAATAATGATATATATATATATATATATATATAAATATTTGCCTCTTAGGTCTACCTACATAAAAAAATAAAAATTATTAACTAGACAAAGTTGGAAGTCCAAGTGATGGCAGAATTGATTAGACAGTAGTTTAATTTATTGTCTCATTGTTTATTCTTCAGCTTGTTTCATGAGTGTGTGTCCTAAGGATTTATGATTTTTAGTGAAGCCATAGACCATAGATAAAACCATAGATCAGATTTCTCGGTGCCCGTCAAGGCATGCAGTACCGTGAAGTCCCAGTGGCCGTCTTCCTAAACAATTTAAACCTGCTAGATCTACACTTGAGACGCTGTGTGGCAGACGTTGTTTTCTTCCACAAACTTCTCAATGGCCAAATTGACTGCCCTGCTTTACTTGCCGAAGTGGACCTTCGTGTGCCTTCTGGAACCCGTTCGCAGGATCTGTTTGGCAAGGAGGCACTTCAGTAGCCAATACGAGTATCACGCTCCTCTTGCAAGATTTCTTCGTCTTGGAAACACTTTGAGGGCCAGTATCGACTTCTTCGGAGACACCACGAGGACTTTTCGAAGGAAGGCTACGGTCCGGTTGACTTCCCTGCGCCAGCAACAAAATGTATTGTAGGTTATTACATTTGTTATATAGATAGGTTAGAATATTTATTAATCAATGTGCATGTAAATTAAGTTGTGTTTCTTGTCTTGTTGATCTCTTAAAATGTTTATTTATATATTTATCTGTTTTCCTGTTAATATATATTTATTGAATTATATAAATGCATATTTAATTATTAATTTAAGATTTAAGTATCGTAATCATTTTTGTAATGGTCTTTGCCGTTGGAATGTAAATAAAATAAAACATACTCCCTTTTGTGTTGGTTATTGGCTAGTCTATCTGGTGCAGCCTATGAAAGCAAAAATGTCCAATAATTCAAGAAATATAAGTGTGTATCATGGTTTCATGTTAGTATTGTGAATGTTTTATCTATGGTAATATGGTATTGTATAGAGTTAGAAGGGGCAGCGATAAGAACCCGCGGACCTGGAACCTCCCCATGGTGGAAGGAAATACCCCCGCTGCAGCAAACCTGCCGACTTAGCGAATTTCCATTTGCCTGGATTGATTTTTTATTATTAATCTATTAAATTAACATTTATTTTTAACGAGTACCTAGGTTAGCTACTACAGGGAAACTAATAAAGTGTGTTTTTTTATTAAAATATCAATAGCTTAGTATGAAATAAATGAAAACGCCAAGTTTGATCAAAATGTATCCTTAAACAAGCTAACTACAACATATTATAATATTCTCCATAAGAATAACATGTTAATGTTAAATTAACAATTTTTTTGAATTTTCTCCATAACCAATTATCGTACAAAAACACTTTGATAGGTATACTAAATTATTTGTTTTTTTAAGCTCTTTAAAAAGGTCTGGAGAAAAATTGATAAATTGTGTGTTTTAAGGGTAAAAAATGAGAAAAACCCATTTTTACCCCATAAAACCCCCCGTTAAACCCCCGGGAACGGGGTCCCATGGTCCGATGATGCTGGTTCGCGAACTCATTCAAGTTTATCCCGCCTTACACCTTCAAACCATATTTTATCTAAATCGGACAAAATTACTCAAGTTATCGTGCGGATGGACATATATATATATATATATATATTTGAACGAATGGTGTTTTTGGCCTCTGGGGACATCAAAATAAACAAGTAAATTGATCCCGGGCCTAGGTCTTACCATGAGACCTACGGTAATAGCTACTTCCCTATAGGGAAATTCGCTAAAAAGAACCTTCACCCTTGGTAAACCACAAAACACGTCTCTACAAATAAACGTGAGAAAAATTTTGAAAATTCGATGGTATGTGCGAAGGTTTCACTTTTACGAGTCTGTCAAGCAGATTTCATGGTCCAAAAATCGAGTCGCGGAATTTTATCCCCCTGAAATTTTACCCCTAGAGCAAAGAGCAGAGAGATAAATCTGACACCACAGCAATTGGGGTAAAATTACATCCGCGAACTTTTGAGTTACACAACACAATATAAGTAGATTAAAGGTGTAACTAAACGTATCTTTTCACGGTTATGTGATCCAGTTTGATCAGATCTCTTCTCTGCTCTGGGGTAAAATTCCAAAAAAGGGATACAATCCCAGTGATCACCCCCGCAAATTGGCAGCCACACTGAATAAATTACTCATGAACGAGATGGAGGGTCCACATTAGTGTTGACATGTTAAAACCTAATACCCGATGAAAAATATTTCCAATTATGAGTTGATTTTTTAACATACAGGGTTCAAAGGTTAAGGGGGGGGGGTGCAATTAAGTTACTTTTCAGCCACCCTGTATTTGCTTTTATTCGGATGATCTACATTCCATAATTAGTCAAAGATTTTGTAAAATTTCCCGTTTGATTATGTAAACTGTTTGCTTGAGTAAAACAATGTTAATCTAAATCGTTGTTGGCCGTAAAACAATAGTGGAAGAGTAAGATTGTGTACATACATAATTTGTTTGTTCCTGCAACACTCCATGCATAGAAAAGAACACCACGCTTGCAAAACCCATAAATAAAATTAAAAACATGATGTCAGGATGCTCAAAGAGCTAAAAGAAGCTGTCTTAAGGACATTAGATTTTACAAATTTTAGGAAGTTGGTGGAGGAGAAATATTCCCAAAAATAGTGTCAATATTGGCAAGGAAACAGGTTCCTGTTCAGCACCAATCCCAAGAACAAGAACCCATGAATTCAAAAACCTCTATTAACTTTGTTTTACACAAAGCCGTTTTAATTCAAAAGAAAATGGTTTTTTCAGCTGAACTATAGCGCCTCCTCTAATACATCATTACTTAAGTTTAAAGGAGACCAAGGCTGAATCGGCTGAACTGATTGGGAATTTTACAAATTCAGTTGACTGAGTAGTTGGGTAGCTGAGTGGTTATAGTGCTCGCCTACTAATCGAAAGGTTGCCAGTTCGATCCTGAGAAAAGTCCGTAGCTTTTTGATGGTTCGAAACTGGACCCAGCTGTTCCTGATCATTGGGCTTTAAATAAATAATCCTGGCTAATGAAACAGCTGATCTTAGTCAGTAACAAAGCTACACAGATCATCACACACCATTCTACACTGACACTCATCCTTCACTCATATTTGGGTTAAAATACGCACCTAAGTGGCGTCCCCATCTTAATGATTGATTGATTGATTGATTGATGGATACTTCCAAATTCCCTTAAACACTGAATCATTTCAAATGATTTTTGTTGGACTTCCATTTAAGTTCAATAATTTTATTATAGTTTGTTTTCTATACTACTTCTATAGTTGACTCCTCTAATTGGACTCGTCTACCTTGTCACTTCCACGTCACGTAGGTAAAGCCAACGCCCTAATTTCTTCTTCTTCATTCCGTCGTCTTCTTCGTTTGCAGCTGCAGCAGCTAGCTTTCAGCTTACGACGGTTTCGTTTGTTTGAGTAGATTGTCGGACTACTAGATGCGTATACAACTTTAGCATTATAAAACATTGGTTTAAGATAAAACCTTTTAATGATCTAGTATAATTGAGCAATCCCTAACACTTAACTAATAGGGACGTTTTACTTGTATCGCCCGTAATTCCGGACTAGCGTATTCGATTTCGTTTCAAAGCAAGGCCATATTGATGGTCATTTAGCAAGGTTGCTCTCTCTGGTCCTGCGTTTAATTCGAAACGCGTGTTTTATTTGTCTTTTGACTACAATTAACGTAATTCTTGACATACGTTCTAGAAATTAAATAGTAATTTAGTCGGACCTCAATTCAGTGTGACTTTGTTCTTGTTACCTAACTTAGATGACTAGGGCTATATCGATCGCCATATTGGATGCCTTCACTTCTCAAAATAAATGAGATAAATTAGACTAAAGATTTCTTCTAAAAATATGGTAAGTTGTGATTTCTAGTCGAAAACGAACATTATATTCTTTATATATGGGTAAGGTTGGGCTAGTTGCCACTTAAAGGCATGCTTTATATTATTTTAAAATAGCCTACGAGTGCCACTTAAAATGACCTTCACTGTCCTTAGGTTTAGTGTAGCCTACTTGGAGAAAGCGCAGGACGTGACTCATCGAAACTTTTTCATACAAAATAGGCCTAAATAATTTAAGTTAGTTGTACTGGTATAGCCTAGTAGTAATTAAGCCTAGTCTATTATAAATAGGCCTATACCTAACTTAAGTTAACTTATATGTTACGTAAGCCTAAAGTCTATTTAGGCTAGGTTAGTTTTCAGCCCTTGGGCCTAGGTCTATGTTGAATCAGGGCCCGTACGTGGATTAGGCGTCCGGCAGTGGCAGTCATAACCTAGTGTTACATAACTAGGGCCTAAGTAACCAAACTTGCTGATAGGCTAATAAAAAAATCGATTGGAGGTTAACTTCTGTTCATAAAATAAAACAAGTTAATGCCTCAAATTCTAACAAAAGACGTACAGTTGAGGAGAAATGGCATTCTAACTAGCCTAAGTTAAGCAAAGTCTTTGACAAAAAGTTAACACTGATGGGATTCGATCTAAGTACCTCTTGAACATCAGCCCAAGTTACTGACTAACTCTGAGTTATCCACTAAACCACGAACACCGATGGCAGTATATCGTAGGCTATGGTTGTGTTAATGGTGTTCCGGGCCCCCACAACCGGGTGACATCACTGCCGGGCACTTAATCCACGTTCGGTTTCTGGACGCGTATCCTTGCGTAATAATTTTACTTGGGGATTGGAGCAAGGGAGGACGTTCTTTTTTCCTATAGGCTACTTACTGCTTTATCAATTTAAACTTATTTGGCCTATTGTTAACTTAACTGTAAACCGCTTTAAAATTCCATAGGCTAAATTAACTTAGGCATAAAAACCTTAAGTTATTAATAATTAAAATAATAAGTTAACTTAACAAGTTAAGTTATTCTAAACAATTTACAAAAGTTGAGTTTAAAGTTAAGTTAAGTTTACACAACTTTAAAACTTAGGTGTTTTAAAACTTAATATTCTTGGGAGATAATTGTTTTCTTAGGCCCATTGAACTAGATAAGATAGGCCTGGTTCCAAACTATTTTATGAAACGTTACGTTTTTCTTGTCAATTTACTTTAGTTAATTATTAATTTAACAAATGACTAAGTTAAAATCCATGATTCTTACAATTAAAATGATTATTTTCAAAGTTACACAAATAAAGTGACATAACTTAAGACTGTCTTTCGATTAAAATTTATCTTGATGTTCCTTGGCCCAGGATCGCTTCTTGAACATTAAAGTTGTACGGTATTTAAGTTAAAATTACCTGATTCAGTCTGTGATCCTAAATTTTTGTAGTGAGCAGCTAGGCCTACCGGTTTTGATCTTAATCTCAATCTTAACCCTTAGAGTGCCAGGCGTGAAATAAAAGTAACGCTCAAAAAATGCCGATGATTTTTCCCGGGCGCTTAAAATGCCGAGCGCGATCTGGCGATTTTTAGGTTAAAATTTCGTAAAAATCGAATTTTTGATATTTCGACCAACGAAAATCGATGTAACTTATCGCATCTAGTAACTTTCGACTCGATGTTAATATATGGGTTTAAAGAATCCGAGTATCCATTCGGTTGTTATGACAACTGTTCGATCATTACGAAACGTCCGGTCAGCCGGACGTTGGCACTTTTGGCTCGTTCTAAAAACATCCGGTCGGCCGGACGTCGGCACTTTTGGCTTGTTTTAAAAACGTCCGGTTCCCCGGACGTTGGCACTCAAAGGGTTAAAAACAACCCTGCACATGGTGATTTTTAATAAGTACAGCACCGATTATCCAATTAGACAACGGTCATCTGAAACGTATGTTACAGTACCGAAATTGCCACCAAAGACACTATAAATTCAAATCTAACTTATCGCCATACATCTTATAAGAGCGGACACTTTGAGCGAAACTTAATGACACCGACACGGTGATATGGTGCTGTCATGTAGGTAGTCCTACATACCTACATGTATATACAAAGTGAGGTTATGTGTAGACTATATACTCTATACTCATAACTTCACTTTGTCTCAGTGACATCAGTGGTCATTGTTTTTTTTTGTAAGTAGCCTATGAGGCGTTTTGGATAGCTTTTTGATTTTAGCTACATAGCAATGTCAATGTCAGAAAAAAAAACTAGTTTCAAACTTATGTGAACAAACTCGTAACTTGTGATTTCGTCTTTTAATTTATTAACTTAAGTAATTTTGTACTGTTTTGTTGTTTTTCCTGAGTCATTAATCCAAAGACTTTTGATAATGTGTGATATCCAATCACATGTTCCAAATGTATGTACAAAGTCTGTCATTAAAGATATCTCTGTAGGCCTACTTTTCTCTCAAATAAGGTGTTTTATTTGCATTTCACTGATCAAACATTCTGGTAGATTACAAATAACTTAGCCTAAACACTCTTTTTGAGGGAACTGTATATACTGTTAGACATTTTCAATGAAACGACTTTGTACATACGATTAGATATTGCACATAATAAAACTAAGTTAAGTACCTACTGTATGCTCAATGCTGAGAGAGCTATACTTTATTGCTCTCTGTTTAGTAACTAAAGTTACTGATAACAAATCACGGGGGCATTAACTCACAGTATATTAAAGCTTCTACAAATTCCAGCTCAAATTATTCCACTGTTTTATGCCAAGATTGAGAGATTCTAATTAAAAACACCAAAGAAATACGGCGATTTTATGTTAATATCTGATCATTCGAAAAATGAATTAGCCTCTCCAAACACCTCTCTACTCCAATTTTTTTAATACCCTTTACGATACCGTACATTTTACTATAATATTTATACTGTAGGCTAACAACACTAACTTAAAGCTATAGTGCAAGTGATAAAAAAAAACGTGAAGACAGATTCTGAATTAGGCCTATTCACTTTTTTATTTTTATAAGGCTTGAACATAATGAAAAAGTCCAGTTTTTGTACTCGTTGCTAAATTTAATACCAAAACAGCTATCAAAAACTTGGATTCTTAAATTGAAAAAAAGAAAAAAAAACTATGGAACTAAAGCAAAACTGGAATGATAAACACGTTTAAATTAACTATTTAAATCTCGCACCTTGATAAGAGGTTTTAAAACATGTTGTATTTTAATAAAGGATCCTTTTTTTCAGAAAAATCCCACCAAGGTCAGTCAACTACCTACTGTACAAGATGCTGTAGTGTTTGGGAGAAATATCAGCATCCCTAAAACATTAGTCTTGATATAAGAAGTGGCAGCGATTAGGGGGGCACATTTAGGGGCATAAATTGAAAAATCTATGCAATGTCTGCTTGTAACACAACTCTGTGTCTTATGGGTGTTTTTTGCCCCCCTCTACTTCTATTGTTGAAGCGCCACCAATAGTCTTAAGGCTACTCAACGCAAGTTTACTCAATAGCCTTTGAAAATTCTTTGCACTGCCATCATTTGCTGCCAGTCTTAGTTGCATTACTATACAACCTACAGTAACAGTACATGCAACGTTTCATAGCCTGCATATTAACCTCTACCGTACTGTATTACTTGTACATAATACAGTACATAATACAGTATTACTTGATACAGTAAGACTACTCTAATTGTGTATACTGTTTTCTCTTGGAGAAACACAAACCAATTAGTTTCAAGCGCAGTGCAAATTTCCTCGGAGAGTAGACATTTTTAGATGGCTAAAATAGGGAGCAAAACAAAATGATTTGTATATATAGTTCTAACCAGTCTGTTGAAACATTCAAAGAATGATTGGTTATGGTCACCAAATAGATACACAGAGCAATTGTGTGAACTTGTTCTTGGCACCAGCTATTAAATGGAAATTAAAGGCATAATCTTAAAAATTCTCATGCATTTGTGATCAGTTGCCAGTGATCATGAGTCTAGGTTTACAGTTGCCTACTGATGGTTGTAAACCTAAAGATGGTTTATGTGACAGTTCAGAATTCTATATTTTTTCAAGTTTCTAAGCAAGGTAGCTAGCAGATGTACCCTTGCACAAGAGCCAACCTATTGAGAACTCCACAGAAAACATGTTAAATTATAAACAATGATCTAAAAGTAATTAATATTAATTTAAAAATGGGTCTATTCTACCTTAACATACGTACAATGTTCCTTAGGATCTTTTGGAACAATTGAAAGATGCAAAAATACAAAATATATAATTTGAAAATAATTTTGGAAGTTCAGACTGAAATGAAAACATTTTAGAAATTTATATTATGAGGCCTTACCTTAGCAATCCCATTTTATTGATCCAAAATTAATTTCGGACCCGAAGGTCCATCAGTCGGAGTCTAGTAGACCAAATTTTTTCTTTGGTAGGATCCACCCGTTGGGTTTCGTAGAAAGTTTCTCAATATTTAAGACAATACAAGCCATAGTCAACACAAAAAAAGTAAAACAATTAGGGTTAAAAACCATGGTTTTCATAGGTACTAACTAATTATTACGCAAGGTTATTTGGGGTTATCTAACGTTTCTGTATGAAAACCATGGTTTTTAACCCTAATTGTTTCACTTTTTTCGTGTCTACTATGACTTGTATTGTCTTAAATGTTGTGAAACTTGCTACGAAACCCAACAGGTGGATTCTACTATAGCAAACATTTTGTCTACTAGACTCTGATGATGGACGTTCAGATCCGAAATTAATTTTGGACCATTAAAATAGGATTGCTAAAGCAGGGCCTTAAAATATCAATTAATAGGCCTATATAAGCAATCCAGAGGCATGATTGAAAATTTTAGAGTTATGAAAACATTCTATGAAAAAATAACAAAATACTTGATAAACATCTATTATGTTTCCTAATTAAGTATGAATCTGACAATCTTTCTTTTAATTTATTTTTGTTAATTATTTAATGCCATTTCTACCTGCGGGCTTCTTGGTTATGCTTAAAGAAAATTTGTTTCAGGTACAGTAGCTCAAAATCATGGGTTTAGGCTATTACTTTCAAATTTTTCGCCGGGGAGTGCTCCCGGTCCTTCCTTTTCCCTAGTTTTCCAGAACCCCCAGTGATCACCAGCAGCCCTGAGGGAACATTGATGCAAACCAATTGGCGCTCTGAGAAATCCTAGTGAGGATCTCTCACTTTGCCCTAGGGCTTGTTGAATTTTTCCTAGTTCGGATACTAAGTGTTGAGCTGTCAACAATTTATCCCTCAAAATAAATTAATTGAAGTAAACATTGAACAAAGAGATTGAGAATTCTATCACAACAAATAAATTACCGTAACTTTTATGATAAATCTAGATTTGGGATTTTAAAATCAACCCGGATGTATGTTCAGGATCATAAGAGATGTGTGAGGAAATCTTTGTAGTTGCATCTTGCACTAAAATGGCAGATATTAATTGAACCACAGCTTATTGCAGACCCTACAAATTTCAGACAATCAGTACAGCCTATATTATGTGGCCTATAACCGAAAAAGAAAAAAAATCAATAAGTTTAGGGAAATTAACTAGTTGGCATCATTTGTTCATAAAAATATGCATGAAACAGCAGGTTATGGTAAATAATGTAAGCAAATATATCTCTCAATGACAAATTGAGGTTTCTTTAAAAAGCACCAAACATAAAGCATTTACTTGCGTTATAAAATCAGTTTGCTCTTACAAGTTTACAAAACTTGTTAGCATGATTAGATTGATAAGGAAACTTATTTACTGATTCCAAGATTTTATGAAAACCACTTTTAACTTTCTTATCATTGTATGAGCAATGCTGTTTTCTTTCTAAACATTAGGATAATCATTGAGTATGCAACCAGTACTTTAAAGCCTTTTTAGGTACTATCAAAGAAATATATTGCCATCCAAACTAAATAAGTTACCACTAGTTATTAAACCCTAGGAAATCTAAGAGTTAATTTAGAGTCAATGCTTGGCATTGAGTATGCTAAAAAACTTCTTAAAGGCAATCAAGTAAAAGGACCAAAACATGAATAAGGTATTAAAAAAAAAATCTTCCCAACTTATGACATTTATAAACACATTATTTCCACAATAGTCCTACATGATTAAGATGATGTAAGTTATTAGTTTTTTATGTAATACCAAGCTGTTATCAGCAGCACATTCAGATATAAATGATTGTGATAAGTGAATTGTTTCAATTCTCTAACACATCAATTCATGAAAAGAAAATATCAAATCAGTTAATCATTATTGTATATTATAATTGAAATCGAGAAAATAACAACTTTAAACTGGCCGTAACGGTGAGTCAAAGAAAATAAGTTTTTCAATTAATTAAACTCATTTTTCAATTATAAAAAAACAACCTTTTTATGCCACTAAAAATTAACTCTTAGATTTCCTAGGGTTTAATAACTAACGTAACTTATTTAGTTTGGATGGCAATATATTTCTTTGATAGTAGGCCTACCTAAAAAGGCTTTAAAGTACTGGTAGGCCCTAATATGAGTAAAATAATTAATAAAAAAAAGTCCTCTTTTAACATTAAGTAATCATAATTATTTTCAACATGGAGAAAGTTAAATTATGTCCATGAAGTCCATTGAGTATGTCCTGGTTTTATTACTCAATGAAAAAAAAAAATCAAAGCTACTTATCTGAAATTTAATTACAAACCACTGATTAGCCTAATTTATAGTAATAACCTTACTTATTCGGTAAGATTACATTTCAGCTAATTTCCGATACCCGCTATTACCTGTTGGTCTCATCAGGGCCGCGTTAAGGGTCAGTGGAGCCCTGGGCAAACACAAAAGCAGCGCCCCCTTTTTTCCTAGTGTGGGCAGGCAGTGGTTGGGGGACACCCGGTGAGCGCCCCCAAACCTCTGGCGCCCCTGGGCATATGCCCAGTCTGCCCGTTTATAAAAGTGGGCCTGGGTCTCATGGTTAGACCTGGAAATATACATAACTAAAGTGGAAAAGGAATGTTAAGATGTCAAGTTCTTTTGCATATGCTTTGCCTTCCTTCAAACAAACCAACAGGCATGTTTTGACTTCCACATCGTCTCGACCATGCAACTAAATTAAATATTCCTTAGTCTGGGATATTCCTCTTTCGTGGTTCTTTTTCTTCCTGTAAGGCATTCAATCCAACAGTTTTGTCCTTATTTTTTAAATGGGGTAGCGGAATTTTGTCAGGGGAAATCTGACTGTCACTACCATGGGGATCAAATTCCGCCTGCGAACATTTTGAGTTCCAAAACATAAATTTAAGGTGGAATTAAACATATATTTTCACGGTTGTGAATTCAATCAGAACAAATTAAATTATAAAACCTAGTGTTTTCGGGTTGGAATGTTACCGCCGCAATTTCACCCACAGAATTTTACCCATTGACCAGATGAAGAATTTGGTGGTAATAAGATGTGCATTTTTTTGAGAAAGACATTTAAACAGTTAACTATTATTTACAAGCAAATTAAATTTGTAAACAAAATATCAAAATAATTCAGTACTTATATAAATTTTAGTTTTCCTACTTTTTCCAAGAAAAATTTTGAAAAAACTATTGTTATATCCATACTTTAAAAATCCAGGGACAAAGTTTAGGTTGATACAGAAAAGGTTGTGTAATCTTACCCAATTCCATAAACACAATTTTATACAATTTAGAACAAACAATTCAGTTAGCTACATAACAACTTAGCTGTGCTAAATTGAATTTTTTTTTGATCAGTTGTCTAGAATTGTGAAATAAGCATTTGCAAGTTCTGCTCGGTTACATTGATGTGTTAGTTAACGTTGTGATTTTTCCCATCCTGCCATGGTTGACCAATCATAATTAAATGTTTACAAGTGATCCTATAATATAAAGTAAATAAAACATAGACTATGCTGGGAGCATAAATTTGTTGTATAAAAAAAATGCAACAAAAATCTATAAAAAAAGGTCAGAAAAAACTGTTTGAAGGCTATTTACTGCTCGTTTTACCAAAACTACTCTTAACAGGATGTATAGTATCAAGTTATATCTATTGTAACATGGGGAGCGAGCTGGTCTAGTGGTTAGAGCCCGGGACTTCAGTTAATCACCAATGGATTTTATCTTATGGTTTTAGCCGCAACCCCTAGGTCTAGCCTGAAGTAATGTGAAAACAATCCCAGGCTCATGCCTAGCATCCTAGGAAAATAAAAAAATTAATTCCTATCACCCTTTTTGTAATTTTTTCTATTGAATAATATCATAATATGACATTTGTTCTGTGTTCCGTTAACACGGTAACTCAAGTGATGAAAACTTTCCGATTTTGACTGAATTTTATGCAAACTTGTAAACCTACGTTTATTGGAACGAGTTTGCGAACCAGCGTTAGCGGACTATGGGATAAAAATGGATTTTTACGATCACAACATAAATTTTTGAAATTTCTCAACTAACCATATGAAGAGGTTAAAAGGCAAATAATAATAATAATAAACTTTATTACTCTCTCTCTCTCTGTAGCATCAAACCTGTGTAGGCCTACTCTTTAAAGCTAATCTTATTTAAATAGAAAATAAATTTATTTCCAATTGAGATGGAAACATCCCCTGACATTATTAAAAAATTTGTGAAAATCCTATCAGGCGAATGTATCCTATCAGGGAATTAAATTCGCAGGGTCGTCGCAGCAGGGGTATTTTTCCAATGGTTAAGTTAGTAGGTCTACGCGTTTTGTAGTAATGCTCATCGATTAGTTCTTGTGACTTTTTAATAAAGTGAAAAAGTTTTAAGGTGATAACATGGGTAGTGAAAAATTATTATATTTTCCGTTTTTGATGCTGCGGATTTTGTTTTGTAATTTCTTTGTTGTGGCAAAATTTATGTTAGGTGTAGTTTTCCTGTAGAATTGAGGCATTGAGATTTGTTATATTACCTAATCCTGAAAAATGCTATTTTCTGCAAGTCATTTTAGGCCTATTTATTACAGGAACATTTGTTTTAACTGTACGCTAAATCTTTTTCAGTCTATCTCCTATTGCTGTCAACTTGGCCGCCACTAAACAAAGAGAGATAAGTTAAAATAGTTTTATTGAGTAATATAGTAACCAGTCTTTTGTTGTTTCAGCCGCGAATCGATCCTCAACAACTGCTCAGATGTTTGAGCGTGCTCCTGTCCCCAAAAGGAGGGATAAAGAGCAAAGATGAAGTTCAAAGACTCGCTAGGTAAGAAAGCTTCAACAATTTAAGTTTTAGATAATACAATTGTAATTGTGTGTAATTGTGTGTAAGAATGTCAACATTCTATAATCATGTATCGATAGTGTGCCAGATTACTGAAAATAGTTGGCCTACCTACTGAATATAATCTATAAGGTAAAACAATTGTGCTTTATCACATCATAGTTCTCAACTACATGTTCAATTGAACAGTTTTTGCATTATTTTTTTTTTAACTTCTTTTTAAGCAGTTTGGCCAATGAAAACTATTTACTTAGCCTCAAACTCTTGGGCTGAATATCGTTAAACTTATTACATTGTTTTCAATTAAATTATAATAAAAATTCAATTAGGCCTCCTTGTATGACAGGGTTAAATGCCTATAAGTTATGCACAGTAGGCAGTTGCAGTGCACAGGTGACAACTAAACAAAGCACATATGTATCCATACTATTACGTTATTCTACCCAATACCTTAATCACTAATACTATCCACTGAAAGGACACATATACTTAACATTGCGACTGGGAAAACTCGGGATGTCACAAAATAATCATCAATGACAACTAAACAAAGAGCATGTATGACTTTGGAACAGTGAAAAATGAAGTAGTTGAGATTTCTCATTTTCAAGTTGGAAACAAACTTTCAACCAGAAACATGTAGATTTATCATTTCTAATTTTATGTTGCAAATATTTTTGGCTAGGCAGAGTTCTATCCTTGTAAAAGTAAATTTATAAGATTACTAGCTGTAACCCGCGGGCTTTAACCCGTTTAACTTCTTAATTTTCAAGATGATCTCGTTCGCATGGCTCAATCATGTCCTGGTTGAAGTTCGTTAGCTACGCTCACTCACCTTTAGGTTGCAGCTCGTTCGCTATGCTCACTCACCTTTAGGTTAGAGCTCGTTCGCTGCGCTCACTTGCCTTCAGGTTAGCTCGTTCGCTACGCTCACTTGCCTTCAGGTTAGCTCGTTCACTACGCTAACTCGCCTCCAGGTTGAAGTTCGTTCGCTATGCTCACTCACCTTTTGGTTGCAAATTAGCTGTTGTCATAAGTGTAAAAGAAATAATAGTGCTGCACCCTGTTGGTAATCCTTGTAACTTTAATGCTTATTGAACATCATAGAACAGAACCAACTTGTTAAATTGAAACAGCTGTTAAGATTCATTAATTCCATTTCTCATAAGGTTAACATGGGAAACTCCAGAGCCACTGGGGCGGAGCCGATTGGACGGATCACGAAATTGATGGTGTATAAACCTATTCCATGAAATTCCACATGTATTTACCAAGTTTCGTGGCAATCGGTTCAGCGGTGTCTGAGTTTATCACTGCCAAATATATATATATATATATACAAACATCCTCTTATACTTATAGATGAATGATTTATGGGTGAGAAATGGGGTTCCAACAAGCCGTCTCAGCTAAGTGAGCTAGTTCAAATCTGATAAGTGTTCTAGCCTATTCCTAACCCTACATGATGATTAATATTTTCCCCTAGATTCCTACATAAATGGCGAATTCACTAGTGATAAAAAAAAATATTTTTTTACTTTTATGGCATCATTTTTGTTCTTAGGATTTTCGTTACCGTAAGCCTAACTTTTATAGCTCGGAAACTATGAATTTTAGAGTGATGAAACAAAATGTATTTAAATTAGAAAAAATCTGCCTGAATATTATGTTTGGTACATTTTTAATAAAATATTTAGGCCTACACATAGTCTATGACATATTCTTCAACCATTGGGACGGCCCATAAGGTGCAAGAAGAAAATCTTTAACGTAAGCATAGGTTGATATGCACATTAAATTAAAGGCCTTTCCCTAGTAAAATACAATGCAGCAAATTTGAACTCAAACGTTCAACTGAGTCAAAAATAGCAGCCATTCAAAGATATGTTGAACCTTCCATTTTGAATCTTTGAACGGCTGACACTTTTTACTCAGTTGTTATTTTGAACTCAAATTTGTTGCATTGTATTCTACTAATTTAAGACCTTTAATTTGATGTAGGCCTACATATCGACCAATGCATATGTTTATAATTTTCTTCCTACTTATAGCGGGCGCCTCCCTGAGGAGGTAGCTTATAATAGTAATGCAAATTCAATACATCTTTGAATAGCTGTCATTTTTGACTCGGTTGTCCGTATGAGTTCAAATTTGCGGCATTGTATTTTACTAGTAAAGACCTTTAATTTGATGTGCATATACCATTCTATGCTTACATTAAAGATTTTCTTTTTACTCCTGGTGGGCTAGACAAAAACAAAAACTTTACCACCATATCTATGTTGGTTAAAAAATATTAGGCTGTTCCCGGACTTTTTTAACACACTATGCATGTTTCTTAATGGTTTAACACAAGTACAATTACCGTAATAAACGAAATAATTCTCGGTTTTATATCGCCTAATTGCCAGTACACACAAGCAGTAGCACAAAGGGAAAAAACTGATTAAATATATTATAAAAACATTATTATTACCTACAATAACAAATATATTATTGTGCAGTGTATAGGCTACCGTTGTGGTAGAATTTTCACTTGTTTGGTTGTATATCTTGATATTTATCTTGAAATTTTCTCTAATGTTTAACTTTGTTCCAGCTTGATGACCAAGTTCTCAAAGAAGCTAGTGAGCAAGTGTATTTACGTATCAATCCTGAAAGCCACGGAAACTGATTTACTGATCATGTAAGTTGTACTTCTTCTACTCTTGTTTTAGATTTTATATACGTTAACATTAGTGCTAAGTAACTTCTAGATAAGTGTTTCATGTGTTGGTTCTTTAAAGCCTACATATTTAATAAAACATGCCTCATAAATTTCTCTGTTCAATTACTTAAACTGTAAACATTTACAAGACGGTTTATGAAAATAAGTTTTTGGCGATCTGATTCAACCAGTCGCACTAGTCATCAACAGTATCAAATTCTTAAGACATTTATCATTATTATCCTGCTAAAAGCAGAATCAAGGGGCCTCTTAACATCTTATTTTTATATGTATCGAACAACATTCCGGTGCCCCCCCCCCTGCTAAACTTATCTTGAACCTTTTAAAGTCAAACTAAAATAATGGCTGAGTAGGAAGTGTTTCTATTCTATCGAAGAATACTTTACTACTGCAATGGACTTTTGAGTACAAATCTGGCCGCCATGGAGTGTAAATATTGTAAATATTAGTTTATTTAATTTTTAAAAGTAAATTTTATCTGACAAGATCAATCCAGACATCTGGTCAACGATCGCCAGTTGGTAATATTATTGGTATATAGTAAGGGTTCTATTTGGATTCATTTAAAAATACGAGTAAATTTAAATGCTTAAGAACATCCGAAACCTGCAAATATCTGCCGGATGAGTCCAAGTAGATGACAGGTGGTGTCAGACAGACGACAGAGGAGTCCATTTGTCATTATTCATTCGTGGTGGATATTGTTGTTTGGGAATAGCAATAAATCCAGTAGTGGGGGTATGTGCAAGGGTCCTATCGTACAATGTACGTTTTATCTTAAAACTTCTTAGGCCTACTCATAAAGTCCTACTATTTGGAGCTGTAAATCAACATTCAACCCTCTAGCATTTAGAACATAACACTATAATAAGAGAAACCTTATGAGCCTACAGAGAACACTTAAAAAGTCAGTTATAGTTCACAAAGATAAAACTAGAAGCCACAATCGCGGAAGGCGACTTAAATGTCTACGAGGGAGATGTTAATTGTGCTATATATTCAATGCCTCTAGGCTCTTTCTATTACTGATCACTGGAGAGCGCTTAGTCGCCCTTTTTGTTTGTCGCCCTACGCGACTTTGCTAACCCTTTAAACCGTCCCTGAATACACCACTGTTTAAAACTAATTGGCTCCAGACCTGTTTGAATTGATAACTCGTTCGAAAATGCAGTAACATGGTCTCCATCCAATCTGGAAACTAGTATACACACCAGCATGTCCAGCTGACCTGGAAACCGGGAAAACCGAGAACTGTACGTGAATTTTGATGACCGGGAAAAAAATCCGTTGATTGTGCGTGAATTTTTAAAAAAAACCAAAAAATTTTAATGTTTAACCCTTTCAGTGTCAAACATTGATTCATTGATGTTAATGTCGTGCTCTGGGGTGTCAAGCGTCGATGCATCGATGGTAGTGCAGACATATTGCCTTTTAACTCAGTCAATTCCAGTCCATTTTGGACTGGATCTATATCACTTTAAAAAAACCAGAAAAAAGTGGCTCCTGGTGTCATCTGTTTCCCCTGTGGTGTATGTTTCATAAGTTTACTTTAGTTTTTCTGTTTCCAAATGAGAAAAACACAATGTTTTAGTTTTTTTTTATCTTTACTAAAATTTATTTTTATCTACTAGCTGACCCGGCGAACTTCGTATCGCCTAAGTTATAGGTTTCCCCTAAGACAGACCGATGGAAAGAAAGTACCGTTACGTTTAATTTTCAAGATGATCTCGTTCGCATCGCTCAATCACGTCCTGGTTGAAGTTCGTTCGCTATGCTCACTCACCTTTGGGTTGGAGCTCGTTCGCTACGCTCACTCACCTTTAGGTTGGAGCTCGTTCGCTGCGCTCACTTGCCTTCAGGTTAGCTCGTTCGCTGCGCTAACTCGCCTCCAGGTTGAAGTTCGTTCGCTACGCTCACTCACCTTTGGGTTGGAGCTCGTTCGCTACGCTAACTCGCCTCCAGGTTGAAGTTCGTTCCGCTCACTCACCTTTTGGTTGCAAATTAGCTGTTGTCATAAATGTAAAAGAAATAATAGTGCTGCACCCTGTTGGTAATCCTTGTAACTTTAATGCTATTGAACATCATAGAACAGAACCAACTTGTTTAATTGAAACAGCTGTTAAGATTCATTAATTCCATTTCTCATAAGGTTAACATGGGAAACTCCAGAGCCACTGGGGCGGAGCCCTTTTAAGAATTTCGAAACGGGAAATAGTTTACGTCCGATTCGCATACCTACAGAATTTACACACCAAATTTCATAACGAACGGTGAAGTCGTTCCGGAGGAGTTTGCAGACAAACACTGTGACACGAGAATTTTATATATTAGATTTAGATTGTGTCTTAAGATGTACAAAAAAATAAATAATGACTAACTTTAACTTTACGGTTTGTTGTGTTTGCAGCATGATGTTTTGAAGGTAAATGGCAGTAAAGTCATTGTAATAGGCCATGTATGTTTATGGCTATGGCTATCCTAAAAATAAAGTTAACAACCATACAAAAGTTAATATTTGTTATAATATTTAGAAGTAAATGGCTATTTAGGATGTTTAATTTAGTCACAATTACTAGTAGGGACACAAACATTTTTCAAATTTTTATTTCGTAGATTTTATCTTTCTAAGTACTTTTTTTATCCTAAAATAGTTACCAAAACCCAATTTTTATGCTGAATAATAATGTAGGCCTATTTAGATGAAAAGAAAAAATATATAACTAGGATATAAATATAGTTACAAAGTAGGATTTGTTATAAAAAAAAACATTGTGGCAAAATGCCCAAAATTTGACAAAAACCACACAAAATGACCCAACATCAGGAGGGTAAAAAAAATAATCGCCAAAAATCTGCACGAAATCACCGATTTTGTTTTGTTTTGCATTACTTAGTTGAGAATCACAATCGTGGCAAGCTATTACTCGATCGCATGTAATATGACGTGCATTGCCTCAATAACGTGCAGTCATCTACTGATATTACCACGATTCATTGCGGGAAATCATCACAAATTTCGCTGCCATTGCAAGGTAATCTCAAATTTGGCAGCGATTGCAAAAAAATAGTCAGAGGAGTTGTTACTTTTGCAGTCTATTATCATAGTTATTGCTGCGATTGTGAGAAATAATCAAAGGTGTTGACATGATCACCGGGAAGTTAAACGGACGTTGCCGCGATCAAAAGACATTACATGTGTTACAGTGATTTTGTAGCGATCGCTGGAACTCACCACGGATGTTCCCGCGATCGCAAGAAATCAATCACAATTTTTTTGCACTGAAGGATCAGCTCAGCTGTTAAAACCGACATCCTTTAAGTCCACAAAGTGTTGAACTTTTGAGGTTCTACTGGATTTTGTAAGATTTCGAATAAACTTGCAGCCGAATACGAGAAATGAAAAGTAAATTATTTTAACAGAAGTGTTACAAATGTGTACATTCCTCCAAAAACCCAACAAAAAGAATAATCAAAATTGCTATTGCTACATTATTGAGGTTCTACAGTAATACTAAACTATAATATAAAACTAACTGTTCCCCGGGATAAAAATATTTAATCCTCACGGAAGATAAGCTAAGAGATAGCAATGTTCTCAGCGAGAATTATTCCTGATAGTCTCGCTGTAGGTAGCGTGAGTTCATTAATTAAGCCTCGTTTTCACAACGGTTTTTTTTAGGTTGAGCCATCAGAGAATTTGCACGTTTGGATGTCTGTTGATTAAAAAATCCACCAGACAATTGAATTTGTTTCCATGCTTTATACACTTATGCCGAGTTACTATCTTTTATTTTGGTATTCATGTCCCAGTGTATTCCAAATATCTTACCTGTTCTTGTTCATACAAGTTCAAAAACTGTTATCACAGCTTTATTAAAATCCACTCCATTTTGAAACCCATACACTATAATATTATAATTTTTAATTGGTCTGTGGAATCAGCAGACATGACAAAACTCTGTCCGTGCATCTGCTGAGATGCTATAGTTTTTTTTTGTAAATAAATAACCTAGCAGTTTATTTTCTCCTGCGGTCATAAAAACGTGATCGTCGTCTTCCGCGATCGCGACAACATTTTGATTAGATTATCTCCCCCGACCATTTAGTCATCGTCGTTAACTCCTGCAGTCACAAAAACGTAATTTTCGTATTCCACAATTGCAGCAACATTTCCTGTGGCCGTATAGACATCATCATCGACTCCCGCTGTCACGATTCCTTCGGCCGTGTAGAACATCATCATCGTTTCCTGCGGTCACGGAAACGTCATCGTCGTCTTGTGCAATCGTGGCAGCATCATAAAAATTCATACATGAAAATAACATGAAAAATTTATAACAAAAAAATAAAGACTAAATCCCAACTTTTGAAGAAAAAAATAAATTTAAATCAAACTTGAAAAAGTTTCTTATCAATAAGGCTATGTACTCATTTGAAGAGTTTTATTCCTATAAGTTATTGTTTTATTTCATATAAATTGAAACTTTTGGTTTTAAAATAATTTTATTTACTATTTTAATTTAGACTAGTGTACATGTTGCTCGAATTCGAGCAATTGCAAAGTATTACAGGAGTTATTTCAAAACAAATAACAGTCATATTTGCAATAAGTTTAAAAGAGTCAACTCAAAGATTACCAGTGTGTAACTCATGGAGATACTCACGATGTATATAACAGTAATCAACATTTCCTGTAAATATTGCATCATATTATATTGATTTTTAATGTTTTCTACAAACATTTCCTGACTTATATCCATATAAGGTTGTCCATGTTTATCTTCGTTATTGATAAACCTAAAGCGTTCCGGCCGGTTTTCTCCTTCTCAAAATGCTGTACAAAATGCTGTACAAATCGCTGTACAGGCAAAACAGGTCATTGCTAGAGGGCCAATTGAAAATGAAAAGTCGTTTTGGGGTAGTGTTAAGGGCGCATTTGTAATCTAATAGTTGAGGTT